AAGCTGGTGTCCAAGCTGATAGTTCACGCATATATGGATTCAATCAATCAGGATCGACGTTTTGCGAAATAGCCCTCACAAAAGATCCAGAGCTAGAGATGGAAGACGTTTTCATGACGCCGTACTAAGTTTGTTGGCCCTTCCCGGCTCCCTTGCGGCCAGATATACGAGTATGCAGACTCAGCGCCGTCTGAGTCAAGACCGTCACTGTTTGCTGCTTGATCATCGATAGGTGCGTGTACCTTGATCAGAGCAACGACGATGCCGCGAAATTCCTTCAATTGCTGCTTCTTGGCCATGTCGCACATTAACCAACAACAGACTCGATGCAAGGCATTGAGCCAAGACTACACATATGACAGAGTCGCATAACCGGAGTAGAAGCATCTACTTCCAATGCAACAAGAAGAGTGCACCACCATGTGCCTTCCGTTCTGGCCCTCTTTTTGAACGCCTCCGGGTTGGACGCCGTTTATGGCCTGGTGACGTTAAGTTGCACTGCCGAGCAGCCCCAAAACAGAGAATACAGCATGCGCGGCGCCGGAGCACAAGCACCAAATGGTTTACTCTTTGTAAGCGTGAGCCCGCGCGTCAAGGGTCGCTTGCCATGATGTGTCGGATGTTAATCCTTTCATGCGTGCCTCACGTAACATATGATTCTTGTGCAGCAAGCTGGAATTAATACAACGATTTCCTCTGTGATGCAAAGTGATTCGCTTGTAGACCAAACCGCCGAAGTGCTGCACATACTGCAAAAAGACCCCGTACTTGATTTTAGGAAACTCGGAATATATGCCTAATGTCTGGAAGAGCTACCGTACCTAGTGGAGCTCTTCAAGAGCCCGGAAGGTTCCCAACATGGACTCGATTTGACAAAAACCCGGGTTTCTGGTTTGCTTTCAGTTTTCAATCCGCTGGCGTTGTCAACATTTGTTTCAACCTTGGAAAGGGTTGCCTGAACCAATCAATTATAGTAGCTGTAAGAAACGCTCGAACCAGGGCCAAGCGCTGGATGGCTACACGGTTCCTTTCTGGCTTTCAATTCAATACCTCGTTCCTTTGCTGCTGCGAGCATGATGTGAACTCCAGGGTCTACGTCATCATCCCGTTCGTGTTGAAGGCAATTCAAAAGTACGATACTGAAAAGCGCTTTAAGCCGTACCAAAGCTGTCCAAAACTTCCCTTTTTCCCTCTGAAACGACTCTTCCCTCACAAGAATCTCAAAATTGTTTGATCCCGACATAATCTGCATCCAAGACAATTTCAACATCGGAGACTCGTCCCTGTGCTCTCATAAAATGAGAAATAGTCTAGCTCCAGTTTTGCAAAGCCTTCGATCCTGGTAAAGCCTTGCTCGAAGGTCCTCTCTTCGGTCATGACCATCGAAAGGCACACAGAGTAGATTCTTCAAGGCCTTCAAATTTATTTTGAAGAATGCCTTCTCGTCGAAAGAGCAAGTCGGCTGGCTGCAAAGTAGATCAACCGCTTGATGTTGCATTTTTGCCGTTGTGAACTAATTTGAGCCAACTCCGAGAGCACCCGAGAGGACGTTGATCGACTTCGAGAGCCCAAACAAGCTCGTTTTGGTTACAGCATAGATTGTTTCAGTTGATGCTTGGAGTGTGACTTCATGTGGCGCCTCCAAAAAGAAGTTGGGAAAGGTTTTTGCAAATCCGCGGAAGGAGACAGCAGGATTTCAGAGTGGGTCAATTCCTCGGTCATGTTGTGGAAAGTTCCGTGGTGGACTCCTCGTCATGCTTCTATGCAGGGGGAGCTTTACTGGCCGGGCCAGCAAATGAGCTCGACCAACGTGGTCCGCGACCCAGAGGTCCTTCGCACGTACGAGCAGAGCCTCGTCGAACACGAGAGCAACCACGGCCTTAAACACGCCCAGCTCGTCAAAAGCGCCCCCCCCCAAGAAGACCTAGATCCGCCCCGAGCTCGTATTGGCGGATCTTGAAGGCCGGGAGGACTCTAGACCTTGCGGGAGAGTGCAGCGGTGGCATGGGGACGAGAGCAGCGAGAGCGCGCGGCAGCGACAGCGAACCCGAGGACCGACAGCCTGCGTAAGTACTCCGCTACTTTTCAGTGCAGCTTAATGCCACTTACGACTAGGTTCCGGATCGGCCTTTATTGTGGTGTATTACGTTAATTTAATCTTTGGGCTCCCCTTATTGGCCAGAGCGTGCCACCGGACCACACCAGTTGGGGACCGGTCGTCCACGTTTGAATGATTCACTTCGGCCCGCTTTGATTCGTTCTGATCCAGGCCTATTGCGAGCTTGGGTACGAAGTTCGGTGGAGCGTGCTGATCTAAGTTTGAATCATACGTCGACTTGGCCCAATCGACCCGGATCTGCAGACGTAAATTCTGGGTGTGGTCGCTAGAACCAATCCACAAAAGCGCGCAATTGATTGTTTCGTCTGTTTCAACACAAATCTGGGCGCGTATACGATCCCAAACCTGGTTTGATACTCAAAAATATTCCTTCTTTCGAAGCCTTTTCAGCGGCCAATAACCCAAACGGCGGAGTCTTTCGAGGCTCTTTCCTTTCCCTAATGAACGAGCTTGCCAAGTTCTGCTCTTGACCGGCAGGATGAGTGGTCAATCACTGACCCGCCAGTGCAAGCAGAGGGACTACTTCGGATGGCCTCCGGTTGAGTATTAGGGTCGGTTTACATTGCAAAGTTTGCACGCCATGAGACCGGTTCTGCTTGAGGATGTTAAGTTCTGGATAGCTCGAGAAAGATTATGTTTCGGCTTGTGCAGCTTTGAGCAGTCCGGTTACCATCAGGTTTGAGTCCGGGCAGAGGCTACCGTTTGACAAACCTCTCATGTGCACATTTAGCACGCCAGCTTGGTTAGGCGACTGATACTTTGACACTCACATGGTACTTCGTTCTGACGACATGCATGCTGGACAACTCTCGCACAGCTTTCAAGGTAATTTGGATGAGCACAATCCTTGAAGCATATCACCGTATATTTATGCATCCGATTGGCTGTGTGGGCATGAGTCGAACCGCATATATGCATATCGGTCCCAGCAAGCCAGAGAAGTTGGTGCATGGGTTCCGTAAAACTTCTGCATGGAATCCATGGTTTCTAGACGTCTCGAATCTGTACGAAGGTCGAACGGATTCTGAATGCACAGAAATCAAGCCTTTTCTGCATGGATTCCATCTCAATTTTCGGCATGCAGTACAGAAGCGAGACGCCCTGATTTCGAATGGAAGCTGTACGAGAGTTTTGCCGGAATCCAATTGCTTGAGTTTCATTCGAACTGCGCATGGAAACGAGGGGGGGGCTGATTTGTGATGACACTGAGTCTTGATTGTCTTGCAAGATGCCATGGCGTGTCCGGTTGATTGGATCTAGCTGGACGCACATATTGTACTGATCTACATCTGCATCACGACTAGCTTGTCACGTACCAAATTATCGCATGGTTACGCGGCCACTCGCGCTCACCAAGCTTTCAATACAAGACACGTACCACAACTTGAAAAATCCTTATGTTGGCGCAAAGTGGCGCAAACTTTATTGACATGCGGCCTCCCATAAGGAGAGGTCGCCTGTCACCCCACACACCTATCTACAATTAGCACGACTGCAACGATCGGACCGGACCCTACGGAATGCTCACACATCAGTTTCTTTCGGATTAGCAGGTCTGCATTGTTCCCGGCTTCAAACTTGCTTCACTGAGGACCCTAACAGAAACTGCGGCAGACTTTGCACCAGTTTGCGGTGCAGGTTCCACACTTGCACTGGTCGCCGATGCCGACGCAGCAAACAAGGATGTCGCATTTGGGGCTGAGGCAGCCAGCCCATTCTGGGCCATAGCCACATTCCGCCGGGTCACCATAGAGGCTCGTGTTTGTCGGCGGCGCAGGCGCTGGATACGAAGAAACGGATACAGCGCTCATTTGACAAGCATCGGGACCACAGCTTAATCCTAGCTGATGCGGTTTAATTGAAGAGGGGCTGTGTGCCGGGGCTGTGTGCCATGTCTACATCAGATCGTGATGACCGTTTGATTAACGAGAACAGCAAAATGGGTCGCTTAACAACCAATCAACAACCCCTGCAAGATGCACTTTGCAGGGGTTGAGCAGTTTGAATTTGCCAATGCACACGGATCAGTGATCCGATACAGCAGTAGTCGACTCGTGCTGCCGGTAATTAGTTGGACGAACTTGCTACATTGAGACTTGCTGCTACAAAATCAAGGTGCAATCGCGAGCCGCTCGAGAGAATGCCCACAGTCCGATTTCTCTGCCGTTAAGCTGAAGTTTTAGAGGATCAGCTGTCCCTCAGCTGTCCCGAATCGGAAAAGAAGTGAGTGATCTTCTCACTGAATCTCGATTCGGCTATTGGGCATAGTTCGGTCGTAAGATCAAGTTTCTAAGAATCCTCTGAAAGACTCGGAAAGCTGACAGTCAAAATCCATTCTGAATGGATAAATCAACGAATAACAACGTAAGGATCAGCAAACTCACACATTAACGAGAGTTTTAGGGGACAGGTACCCAGCTAAGACAGTCAACCATGCGGCCAAGCCCCTGAGATACTGAAGTCGCGGGGGCGAGCAGCTCAAGCGCTTCTGCCTTAAATAGAGGGGAAAGTGACCACCCAAGGTGAAAAGAATGGCAGGTCACCTGCTGCGCATTGTCCTTCTGTGGGAGGCGAGAGGTGGATGTCCTCCGCGTCGTTGTACTGCAGAAACCCGGTAAGTGTGGAGAGCCCTTCCGAGATCCAGCTGGCCGTCACGAACAGGTTGCCGTCGGGTTCCCCAGAGACGGCACCGCCGCAACCGCTGCAGTTTGCCCCACAGCCCGTGCCCACGTAATGTGGGCTGCCGAGGTACTGGAATTCCGCCCCGCACTGAAGGAGAGCCAAAGTGAAAGAACCTTCACAGGCGCGGCTCTTCAGCCGGAGGCCGTTCTTGGAGTTCACGTATCGCAACCCGGGGGGCGATGCGGGTGATTCCGTGTTGACGGGCGTCGGGATCTCGGATTCGGCTGGTGGTGGGGCCGCTGGAGGAATCGCTTCGCATCTGGACAAAATTAGGTGAGAAACGGCTGAGCGTGGTCGATTGTGACCGCAGCCTTGCTAGCATTTACTAGAAGCGGCCTAGGCACGAAAAGCTCTTTCTTGGCCTCTTGTTCGTCTGCGTACTCGACGTGAAACCGGACGCAAATGCCTCTTGACCGCCTTTCCAACAATAGGGGGTTTGCGTGAAGGGCCTCTTTGAGAAGCAACACGGTCAGCTTGAAAATTCAGGCCATTAGATGCTGGCATCCCTAATGTTGTTCTTCGACTGAGCCCATATCGCTGATATCACCAAGCAATTTCTATCCATGACATTGGAGGCCTACACAGCCAGAGTCTCCAATTATTCAAGTTATCAAAGCTCTTAGGAAGCTAGAGCCATGCCAGGTTGGCAGAAACATTTCAAGGTAAATTTGGCACTTCAAGTTCGCGGCCAGATTAAGAGTTCGCGGCCAGACTTACGGGTTTGGGCTCGGGTTTACCCCTCCATGACCACAGGATCGAGTGGCGTAATCGAGGGAGGCAGTTTGTGCGACATTGTATGCATCCAAGGATATTAGGTCACTCCTGTACAAAGAAAAAAGAGTCGGTTCAGCATGGGCCGACCAGTGGTTGAGAGGGCGGCTCGTTGGAGCAATTACGCGCAAGGAGCTAGAGAGCTAATTAGTACTCCTCAACGACCAAGTGCACTTCTTGACGGGGTGTAGACTGCAGATTATTGAGATTATGGCAAGATCATCTCCGCAGGTCCGTATCATGTTCATTGATGTTGATCTATTTTGATTTGGATGTTTGGTCGATGTGTCCCCCAAAGTCAAAACAGCTTAGCACGAAACTTAAGGAGGCAGGATAATTGTTCCCCGAGCCTAAAAAGATAGTTACAGGAGTCTCACAACAGTCACGCTAGTCTGAATCTCTTCATGTGCTGCAGTGACTACCCTGAGAGCGTTGGAAAAGATCTCGAAGTGTCGAAGCTGTGGGAACTCACTTGAAAAAGAGTCGCATCACACGGGCGGCATAGATGCAACGCTTCTGCAGGGTCTAAAGGGAGAGGTCAATGGACGCGAGGTCGTCAGGGAGCTCCAAGCAGGCGTTGAGTGAGCGGAAGTAGAGCTCGTCGTCGCAATCGCTTTTGGGGCGCCCTGGTGTGCCATAGCAGATGTCGTGCAGGTCGCACAAGGGCGAAAACAGGGTCGCGACCTCCTCGGACTTCCCAAGGATCTCAATTACTGCCGGCACCAGCGCCTCTGTAAAAGGGAGCATAACATGACGATCGTTACTGCAAGGATTTCATCCGATCAAACTGTCTTTTGTGCCGGCCTTGATTGCCACTCTTTATGCCAGCGGCAATCATATTAGTGGCCAAAGATCCAGCACAGGTACCACGAGTAACATACAACTTGAGGGCAACTTAGGTAAATTTTTGCACCTTCAAAACGATCAGACGAGGCGCCAATCCTTCCATTGCGAGCCATATATACACGTCATCGTAAGATCAAGACGTGTTCTGCGAGATACATTGCCTGTCTCGAAGCTGCAGTCTTTCCGACCCTCGCAACATATAGAAGTGAGCTGCTAAGCTTACAACGGTAGATTCAAGAAGGTGATACACAATGTTCATTACATGAAAGCACTTACCGTTCGCTTTGTCTCCGCAGCCGTTAGGATCGTCTGGAAACGCCGGACATCTGGCAGAGTCAAAGTACCGGCAACAAAGACGACCACAGATCTCGTTTCCGTCCACCGTGTATGGGCACCGCTTGGAACAGGGGTCGTCGTTCACTGCACCAAAATAGGCAGTCAGATATTGGCAAAAGTCGGTTCTGTCTTCTGAAAGACGAAGGCAACCCAAGATGAGAAGCTTTCACGACTCTCGTGCTCCCGGCGTTTCAGAGATCCGCAGAATCTGTCATAAAGGAAATTGATTCTTAATTAGAACCGCTCACTCATTCTGCAGAGCTTTGACAAGAGCAGCTCCTCTGACCCATTCAAGCAGAAGTGAGATGCATGCAGCGGGGAAAGTACTGCCGAGCGCCCCCACAAGCTTGTCCACCTTTCTCGTGTGCAATTACTCCTTGCAGGACATCTGAGACAAGCAGCGGCTGTGTAGTGAAAGAGTCAGTCTGGTTAGGAAAAATGATGTAATTAGAAACATAAAAGCCGGGCCGGGTGCCCAGGGGTTCGCATCGTACCTTCAGAAATGGGGAAGGGAAGAGGGGGAACCTCAGGGAGGCTGATTCCATCCCATACATAAAGCTTGAGTCCTGTTATAAGTACTGGCTTGATAAAATAGATGTCAAGATTCACTGCGAGATCGTCCAGGACCACCTCCTGGACGACGGTCAAGGCTTGAAGGGCGGCGCTGCCAAGCTTTTCGAAGAAGAGGTCGATCGACGCGATGATGCTGCCACTCCGGATACTCTCGAATGTGACCTAGCATACAAACGGCAACGTTAAGGTCAATACACAAATGCTTGGAGAACGGCGCTGGCAAACGCGAAACGTTGCACCAGCGAAGACGATTCGAAAACTTGACGCTTTCGACTGGTTCCAGTCGCTTATCTCGAAATACAAGCTGGCATTGCAAGAGTACAAGCGAGAATGAGGAAGTAGTATTCCTAAGGTCATCATTGGTGAGGACATCCCCGGGTATACCATGCTTCAATAATGAGGCCCAGAAAACACAAGCCTTTCCTATTAAGCCTGTCTCTCGAACTTACCGCTAATATGTCGGGCGAAGCACTTTTGAGGGTATCAATAAGTATCGCTTGCAGCGTGCTGTTGAAATCGGGTGATTCTATGCCTTCAAGAGTGATGACCAGGTTCACAGCAGCCAGATCTGCAACAAAGCATTTGAGAACCTTTTGGAGCCTTATGCAGGTTGACCTGAAGGTCAGTGCGTCTGTTGACACTCGCGATGCGAGTATCGAGGAATACCTCGGCATGAGGTGCAACAGCATACACAGGCGACTAGTAGTGCAAAATTCAGACTTAAGGATTGCTGGCGGCAACCGGAAAGTATCAACAAGGAGCCCACCTCCTCGTGGCTGGCCGTCAATGGATGGAGGCACAGGAGCACACGTCGGGTTGCCCTGGTCATTCCCTCCGCACTGCCCCGCACAGCACACGGAGCTGGTGCCAGAAGCGTCGTAGCACTGGTTTGGTGCGTAGCCATTTGGGTCGCAGTGGAGTGAAGTAGCCCGTGCTGGCTGGGAGGAAGTTGAAGTAGCGCAAAGAGGGACAGGGCCCGTGCTGGAGGGACAGCTCTCGGGCCCACAGCAAATGTATGCGCTGCCGTCCGCATTGTAGCACGCGTTCGGGTGGTCGCTGGATGGGTCACAGCCTGAAAGCACAATCGAAGCCAGAGTCACTGGCAGTGGTACTAATCGACTGACTCCGTAACTTCTTCAGGCAGGTTCTGGGTGCTTTCGGGCAGTGATGCCAGGATTCAATATAGCAATTCAAGTTGCATGCATGATTCTCGTTTGCTGGGGGCTGAAATAGAGAGGGAAGTTGGATCATTGCATTGGATTGAGAACAAAAGGTGATGTTGGGCAGACTCAACGTTTCTTACTAAATGCGGAAAGCTTTGCTCATTTTGCAGAACACTAGATCAAAGCTCTCTCTACAAGCTGCCTTCCTTAATTCAATTATCCGCAGCTTGCAACCTATGCAGATGTCCACCTTATGTACCCCACTGCAACCTAAGCACTGAGTCAACTTAAAGGCAAATTTAGGCAGACCTATGGCAAGAAAGACACGCCTAAGACACGAACATACTGGAGTCACTCGGAGACGTCAACGAACTCACCTTGACCGAGGGCGAAAGCAATGCATGTCGCAAAACCAATGACGAGCAACAGGGACGTCGAGGCTGGTGCCATCGTGCGCTGGCCTCCCCACTGAAGCCCCTCGTTGCTGCAGCCTAGGGTGACTGGCTGATTGGCCAATCAGCTAGCACTAGTGGTATGCGGCAGGTCAGAGTGGTAGGAGTGAGGAGATGAATCGAAGAAATGAAGAGTGCAACGAGTTCGACAGTGGAAAGCTATAAGCTCTGGATTACGGACGACAAGCTTGAGATTCCTGAGGTTCGAGATTCGTGCAACACTTGACGCGGTTTGTGATCTGGCGTTTGCATTCCACAGCCTCTGTATAATGCTCGACTCAGACGTCGTCCACTGACCGCCCTCTGAACGTGGAGAGACTTGCGAACCAGATCAAATAATCGAAGTGCGTGCCCGTACTTCTCGACGGGCCAGTTTGCAGTCATGGTGACGGTATATGGTATTGCTTCTGGTCAAGTCACGAAACAGAACGAAGCTCTGGTTTGCAGTCGGATAACGTGTGTACGGATTTATCGAGCGAGCCCCTTTTCACTGCCTTGCTGTTCTGCTGAGACAATATTACCTAGCAGAAATTTCACCACATGTCGACACGACTACGACGGACACAATGAAGTCATACGTTCTGTGAAATCTGACAACCTTGAGAAACTCACAGAGATGATCAGTCACTGCTCAGTGCTCAGTAATAGCAACTTGAAGGTGCGGGGCAAAATGTAGTGCGGCCGTGCATCCGGCCTTTAGTGCAAGCACAGTGACGCACAGTGATCGGACGGGCTATAAGAGAAGTGTCCATCGGACGGTCTAGTGCAGGGCACAGACCACGTGCATGGCGACACAACTGGATACGACAAATACCGGTACTGCCTTCGGTGATCCGGATTCCGCATCCCAATCATGTCAGAGCTGCATCCCACCCAGTGTTAGTATGTTTGGGGGTCCAGCGTGTCCAGACTCCAGACTCCACCAACCAGCCCCTGCATGGTACATGGACGCCCGATCGCCGCCCCGGTCGAACCCCCGGGAGCTAGGAGGTCGCCATGGTGCCACGGTCCAGTCCGGACGGATGGCCCGCAAATTGCCCTCTAGTTTAAAACTATTGGACGGTCTGGCATGTGCAGTCGGAGACGCCGGCCGCATTAAACATCCATGGGACGGTTTTGATTGACAAAGTTTTGTGTGCGCTTTTTCGGTTGTCATATATGCAATGGCTTCCGCCAGGTTCCGACACTGACTCGATCGATAGCCTTTTCCTCTCGGCACCGTTACATCTCACATGCAAGGCCTCCTCTGGACTGTTAATTTTGGGTGTGCTCAAGTTTCCAAAGCAGGAACTGGTTTCTGAAGTTCCGGTGGTTTGCGAAAGCCTAATTAAAAAGCAGCAAAAAGTGCACATCGTGGCTGGGTTAGCTGCAAATAGTGGGTTTAGCAAAAAGCAGGATATAAATATGGCATAAGACTTACCAGGCTTGATGGTGCGCTCAGCTATATCCTTATGAAATTGCGCGTTAAGCAGCCACAACCCACTGGAATGACCAAACGCTAGCCGCCTCCGAGCAGAATTGAGGCTTGGAATTAAGAAAGCATAAGAAGATTTTGTGGATACACCGCATCTTGTATCCAAGCTCATGCGCGCAGCCATAGCCGTATACAAGCCGCAATTATAAGAATTACAACCTTCTGTAACATAGCGTCACTAAAGTGCCAATGCCAATCGATGATGGAACTGACACCCGCCCTCCAGCGGCAGTATCTGCGGATTGACGCAGACCTTGTCAACCCTAAAGAGACCTAAAAAGTTTATGAAAATGAACCCGCAGGTCGGCCGGCCAAAAGGAATATGCCTCGTGTTCAAGCAGGGCGTGGCATGCATAAGACCAACTATACGTTGCCTAGCTGCTTTTAGTACCCAGTCCGCTGCTTCTTCCCCGGGCCCTCCTCATCCTCCCCGTACCTCACAAACTCCCCTCCTTCCTCTCCCTTGCTCCGCGCGTCCTTCTTCGCACTGATCATCTTTTCTATCCTGTGCAGCTCGTTGTTCAACTTCTGCTCCTTGCTTTGCGTCTTTCTCGTCTTGCGCCCGTCGGCCGTTTTTACCCCGAACTGGAACGCGGCCTTTGGCGTTGCTTCCCGCTCTAGATGGTACCGGTCGTATTCCTCCTGCGTTTCGAAGTCGTACCGCTGCAACCGCTTCTCGCCCTTGGCGCCCAAGTCCATCTTGGACTTGTCCTCCTCCTCGTCGCTGCCCTCCAGCACCTCGTGGTTGTACTCCTGCTTAATACGAGTGTCATAAGGTCAGTGACATATGCACAGCGGTAGACATTCCCAGCAGCCAACCCTGAAAATCAGCGTAAAGAGGAGAAGACTCAATGCCGGTTATTGACCCATTTCACCCTGTTCACAGCTGCCCTCCAGCACCTCGTGGTTGTACTCCTGCGAAAAGCAGAGTTTCAAACTCATTTGTCAGGTCTTTGAATTTAAAGAGACTCCGAATATCGAATCTTGCGAATGTGGTAGCAAAGAAGACTTGGCGCCACCAAGAATGAAACATATTCATCCGTAGCAGTCGTTTAGTACCTCAAGGTTGCATTTCCAAAAGTAGTAGAATCTGGATAATCTGGGATCGTGTCACATCTAAGGATCGAAGCTCCTCCGACGAAGACACTGCGAAGTTCTGGGGCGACTTGATCGACGAACAGGGATTTGTCTAATCCTCGTGATTGTACTCCCGAGGAAAAGGAGATCGTGCAGAAAATTCGCAGCGCTTTGTGTCGGAGAAGCAGCATTCAGCGACTGAAACTCTTCGATTGGTGCTCAGCAAAAAGGGCTCTCCTTCTTGATGCTGCCCTTCCAGCGAATCGTTTGCGTTCGAGAACCCCGCAGAGCGAGCAGCTCCTACGCAGAAACAAGCTCCTTTTGACTGGAACATGAAAAGCAAACTTTCGCAAACCGCAAACAAGCAAAACCAATCGCTCACCCCGTAGCCTGGATAGCACTCCGCGTACGTGTCTGACACGAACCCGGGGTCCTTCTCCCGCTCATCGCGGTCCCGCTGACGCAGGCTGGCGTCATCTCTTCGGAAAACGGACGCCGCGCCCTTGTCTTTGTCCGCCTGAGTTAACGGTTGGGGGCCCAGATCTTCCACGGGAACGGGAGGTGCTTCTGGGTAGGCTTCGTAGCCATAGCCATCCCCCTGGGGCGGGTAAGCTGCGCCGGGGACCGGCCCGTATTGGTAATCTGCACGGAAAGAGAAGGGTAATGGGCAACTCGGAGTAAGCTAGAATGGAAAAAACGTGCGGGGTTGTCAGGCCCAAGCGGGTGGAAAAGAAGCGTCACGAAAACGTGAGCAATATAGACATGGACACTTGAGTGCTACAACCTTCAGACACTTGGTATCACTCAGATCTTGCAAGTGCTTACCAAAAACGAGTGACCTCTCAACGGAGTCTGATCTATAAGTTGCAAATACAATCTCTCCTTCAAGAGATGAGCGGATCTCAGACGCCGTGCGCTTCATGGCTAGGTGCTCTGAGAAAGATAAGAAGGTGGCAAAAGCTGACGGTCTCGCAGAGTCCGTGTGAAAACTCACTTCCGCTCCCGTAACACTGCCGTGATCATTTCAACCCAAAAGATTAACTTACGCCGCTGACGGGCTTTCGCCTCAAGACCGTGATACGCACCCAGGACGGGTTGAAGCAGGCATACCAGCCAAAGAAACTAGATCGGAAGAAAGAAAGCAGTTGGGGGCCAATGAAAAGACAACGTGTCCCGCTCCGCTACGCACCTGCTGGCTGCGGATACATCTCCGCAGGGGGGTACCCTTGGTAGTACCCTTGCCCCACTTCCGGGTAAGCCATCCCATCGTAACCCCCCGGAGGCGCCTGCGGGCCGTGATCCCCGTACTGGGGGGGTACCGCGCCTGCGTCCGGAGGGGGGGGCGGCGGCGGCAGCAGCGCTTCCTCCGGCTGGGGGGCCGGCTTTCCCGGCTCCGCAAAGTACGACCCGCGGTCCCCGTTTTCTTGCCCCTCCCCCCCTTTTGCGCTTCCGCCTTTCTCGGGAACTTCTAGGGTGTACTCCCGGCCGGCGTCCTCGAAGATGTCGTCATCGTCGGCGAGCGAGGGTTTGGGGGGTTTGGCGTGGTTGTTCGTGTCGGTGCGAGGAGACGGCTCCTCGGAATCGCGGGCGGAGGCGCGAAGCTCGGCCACGCCGGTGGCTGCGTCGGAGGACGTCAGCTTTGCATCAGCATCATTGAACAATTTCTCAACGGCAGCACCGATTTCTTAATCGTAAGGGAGGACAGAACAAGCGCGCGATCGTGAATCTTGTAAGGCATGCTTTCAAGCATCCAGGCATCTGGTTGCTACGAGGTCCGGGGTTAGACACAAGGACTAGAGTAGTGAGTGTTTATTGGTCGGCAAACTTTGCTCGCAGTCGGAAGACGTAATATCGTGTTGAGTCAAGCGAAAGCTTTACCAGTAGCCCATGCGGCCTTTTGAGTTGGTACTCTGCGATGACCCGAGTACCTTACTCTCTCAGGCTGGATTTTCGCCATACACGAATCGCTTAACGTTCTGCTGCGGGGCATGAGAGGGAGCACCGCGTGTTCTGAATAAGTCAAAGAAAAGGTACAAAGATATTCACATGAACGAAATCCTATTGACAAACCGCCTTGGCAGTCTTCAAAGCGCCACCACGCCATGAAGGCGAGATGTGCTCGAAACTCTTCCACTGCTTTAGCTGGAAAAACACCATCTGAAGAAGCAGCAGAGGTGCTTACGTCTGACGAGGTCCCTGTCCCGCTTCTTGAGCTTTTTCAGCCCCTTGGCGGACGACCCGAGCCGCAGGTACGACATGACGCGCGAAATGCGGTCCAGCAGCAGCGCGTCCACGCTCGCATCCAGTAGATCCTGCGAGGAGGGGAATTCCGGCGAGCCCCGTCAGCAGATTGAACCCCCTAAAATGCACGATTTAATTTGGAATCAAGCTCGACAGAATAAGTCGTTAGGTCACCTCGAGCCTGACGTGAGGTCAGGAACACAACCCGCGCTTTTTGGCTACTTGCTGATGAGTTAAGTCGGCCCCCAATCAAAAAGACAGATGAATTGGCAATCCGGCAGGAAACCAGAAAGTGCTTCAAGACGACTATGCCGTGAATGTTGGCACTCTCGAAAGAACTCTGAGAGAACTCCTAAGTCCTATATGCCATAGCCACAGAAAGACAAACCAACAATCAGCAATGCATGGGGGGAAATCAGTAAGCCGCACCTGAGGAGCGGGGCAATCAGCCTTGCTGCGGTGAAGGGTTGTTGGGATGTCCGCCGCAAACTCGTCATCCTGCGAAAGAAAAAGAAACGGTCTTTGATGATGCAAGAAACGAACTGAACCAACTTTGCATAGAGTGCAAGGAATGAGACGCTCTTGAAGGGACACCTACAGGCTGAAAGCCCAAAATCCATCTGACAATGAAGTTGAACAGGCAGAGCCCCTAAGGAGAATCTGCACCGGCCAGTTACTCGAAAGCGCAGCCTGAAGGATAAACGGTATGGAGCCATGGAAGAGCTTCGAAACGAAGTGCGAGGCTAAATAATCAATACGGCAGCGATTGGAACCGCAGACATCATAACGTCGTAAAAGAGTCTGACAGGATGGAATGAACAGGGACAAGGGCTTTCCCTGGGGCCCTGAATTCCTAAATAGGAGAACGATGTCTCACCAGCTCAAATAAGAACGACGTCCGCCCTGGGAGAAACATCTCGCTCGCCCTGAGATTGCTACGGGTCGGCTTGATAAGCCACTGATAGACCGACTTAGCGACGCCCGTCCGGATGTTCATCGCCTTCTCTTCCGCTTCCTTTCGCCGGTGCTCCTTGGCGCGAGCCTTCGCATCGTCCTCGTCCTCTTCTTGCTCTTCCAGCGACTTTTTCAGCTCACTGCGCACCTGAGAGGTATTGCGCAGACTCAGTGTGTAAGGCTACGGAAAGTCTACCGACTCTTTTGCTGAAATGGTTGTTAAACTGTCATAGTAAGGGAAGATGGTACAGCGTATGAGGTAAACGGGTCTGAAACTCTATCCAGGATCCCGCAATTGAAAAAACAATCCAGAAAGGGAAAATTCCTTGCAGGTTTGAATTGATTGTGGCTGTGGCTGTGCACCTGGGCAAAGGGAACTTTGTTTTCCGCTTTGACTGTCAAACCGAGCAATCTGGGCAGAGTAGTATTCGAGCAGGTTCCACAGCGTTGCCTTTAAGCATGAGCAAGCCACCATCTCGCAAATCAAAAGACGTCATTGTACAATCGTTTCTTAAAAAAAGCATGTGCTGTGCGACTACAAAGTCAGCAGATTCGACGGCCTTCCCACCATCCCAAGAAAGGGAATCGGTGCCCTGTGAGAACAGTCCAAACGCTCTGTGCTTCCTTCCCCCGATCGTGATTCCTCACCTTCTGCAGCAGCGCATAGTCGAGCCCCTTCACGAGATGCGTGTGCTCCACATCTCCTCCAAGGTACTTGGAGTTCTCAATTGAGATCTTGTGCGCGTCCGATGTGTGGATGTCTGAGAAGGTGCCGGGGGCTGGAACAGCGTGAAGGCCCCCCAGCTCAGCGGAAGCTCCGTCGTAGTCGGGGTTCTGATCCTCCCTACGCTCTTTAGCCCGGTCACGGTAGGCGGATCCTGTGCCGGCGCCAGTTTCTTCGCCCCTAGGGATACAGAGGGTGGTGTGGACAATCAGTAGATCGAACAAAGCCTTAAAGAAGGTTTCAGTTGACCAATCAATATCAGCAATTGAGTTATGCCGTTTGTTTGAGACGCAAATTTGTTTGTCAGAAAGACGTTTTTGAAAGGTGTTAAAAAGCATGCCATATTAGACTATGATATTTGAAACTCAAACACAGCCTGGCAGAATGAGAGGGTGGTAGAACCCAAGCATCTAATTAAGCAAGTTGGAAGTCACTAGATATGCTCAACTCTTATGATCAGAGATGATACTCGGCACACAAGTGATGATGCAATTGATGATGCAACTTTGGCTCCAACTAGGATTTACTAGAGCGTAAAGGCAATTTCTGCTGGTAGAGTAGAATCTGCACAGTTCCAATGGAATTCAGCCCCTTTTGATTGCGAGAGTGAAGGTGCTGAAACATCACGAAGTGGTACAGACACTGGTACCGACACTCGACTGCCCCTTCCGCTTCTGCTGGTGTCAATCGTAAAACATAATAAAGAGGATTAAACCTTTTGCACGCTACTCACTCCTTCGGCTTTGGCTGCCACTTCTTCTTGGGTTTCTCTCCATCGCCGCTTGTTCTCCTTTGGCTGCAAGGTCCACAAACCACTCATCAGATGGAGCATCTTAATCCCCTTCTCGAGGTTGAAACCTGCCTCTCGCAGAAGCATCTTCGGACTTTCGTGATCTTCACCGACTCCAGAAGGGTCCAACTCCAGAAGGGGAAATTGGCTTAAATCATCAAGAAGCTGATGCTCTTGAAACAGAGAGTACCACAAGATAGCTGACATTAGCGCAATGCTTTCACATATTAAAACTTGCGGTTGCTGGTTTCGTTTGCGATAGCAAGCGGAAATAACGTCAGTTTCTAGGCCAGGCAAAAACGGGCCCTACTTTTTGTGTTTGCCCGCCTTGTCTTCCCCCCTCCTAGGCGTCTCCGCCACCATCCGTCTGAAGTCGTCATTGGAGAGCGGCCTTTCCTCCTCCGCAGGCGGCTTGCTGTCGCCTGGCCGAGGAGGTGGAGGCAAGGGGTTGGAGATTGGGGCAAAGTCGCCCTCATCGTCCGCGGTCTCGTAGGCTGCTGGCATTGTGGCTTGCTCTCAGAAGAATCTGTTGAATCCAGCCAATTCAAGAAAGACTCAAACTCAATCAATTTGACTTGAGTCTGACTACCCTCTGTCACTGAGGTAAGCAAACCTTTTCTGCAAGCTTTGCCGCTGCGCTTGCGGCTTGCAAACTTTTTGCTTCAATCCGCTCTTCCCACCGTACCTACGTCTGGGAGTGAAGCCACTTCTGGCCGTCTAGCTACCCAGTGCCGCAAAAAGGTCAAAGAACGGAGTTGTAAAAGTGTTCACATGCTACTTCCACGCGCAAGGTGCGTCAGCATTTTTGAGCCAATTTGACACCCCGGGCACTCTGCTCTTCTCGGTGACGGTCTATAGTTTTCGGTTTAGGGGTATAGGCAGTCCGGTCGACAACCAGGTGATACTCCAGGGTCAGCTCAACCACGGGTTAAAGCTTCTGAGCTGATACGATATACCGTACGGAGCTTCGGGTCTGGTGTCTTCAACATGCTGTTGCTTGTTCAGACCCCGGTTTGGTAGTTAACTTGGTAAAAGGTTACTTGTCAGTCATGAAAGGTGGTTAGTATATGCCCGGTGTATGTGAAGGGAGTCGCATGGGGTCCCTTGGTGCTGAAATTGCCATGACGTGCTACCGCACACGAGACGACGGGATCATCGAAAATCGGCGGCCAACAGTGCCGGCCTGGGTAACACTCGGCCGGTAACACTTTTACAACTCCGTTCTATGTACTACTTGCGTGCCCCAGTGCCCACTGTACTTCTAGCTGGACTTCTGCCTCTTTTCCGAAAGCGAGCAGATTTTCAAAGCTAGTGTCAATTCAGGACCGTGCCAGCTCACTTCGCTGAGACTCAACCCTAGCTTTCCCCAAAACAATCCTCCAGTCTTTACTTGACACTGATTGAACGTCTCCCTCCAAATGCCTGCTCAAAGCTGCACACAACACGATCGAGGCTCAGAGATTGCTTCACAGTGAGTTCACACAATCTTTGTCAATGGCTGATCAGTAGTGGCTGGGCCCTCCAGGTGGCGCTCCCAGTTTAGGTGTGCAGGTACCGCCTCTGGGCAATCAATTAGCCCTATAACTATGCCCTCGCGTCCGCCACCACGGCAGACGCTGACCATCGCGGACGTCAGGGAGGTTCTGTCAGTTGGTTGTCAGGTTTTGGACGCTTGTCTGAGGGGTGGTGTGCGCTGTGGGGATATCACGGAGTTCGTGGGGGAGAGCACTGCTGGCAAGACACAGCTCTGTCTTCAGCTCTTGCTTACTCTACAATCTCAGTACAGTGGTGGGGCAAATGCGTTGTACATACACACAGAAGGCCACTATCCTGGCAGGAGACTGCAAGAACTTGCGGTGGTCAGGAGGGATGCGCTGGCCGCAATAGGAGAACCAGGTGCGTAAGTGACTATCTTTAATCGAAAGGTCGTTCTCCATGAATCTTTTAGGGCAGTGCTTCAACATTTTTACAGCACATGTGCCAGATGGACTTTCACATGAACACACGAATTTCCAGTTCGGTGTCTGCGGGCAAAAGCTGGGAGGCCTCAGCATTGCCTCTGCTTCATTGCTTTGTCTTCTTGCTTGAAAAGGCACGCCTCCAAGAATCAGTGTGTCCTCTCTCTTCTTACCGTTTGCTTAGAAGTGGTCAGAGTCCCAATGCATAGCTCTGTATCCGACAGGTTCTAACAACAGCTTTTCAATCGACCACATCTTTGTGGAGGCGATTCAGACCCCGGATGAGCTCCTAGACTTTCTGAAAGACCGGCTGCCCAGTCTGCTGCACACCTCAACCAAGCCCCTCAAGTTGCTCATCATCGACTCAATTGCTGCCCTGTTTCGGACCGAGTATGATAACACTACTGCTGAGCTAGGCCGAAGAACAAAAGTTCTCTTCCAAGTCGCGAGTCAGTTGAAGAAGTTTGCGGAGAGAGAAGGCGCTGCGGTGGTTATCATCAATCAGGTTGTTGATTTCTTTGAAGCGGCGGATAAGGATTTCCAAGGTCAGTCGCAGATTGGCAACCTTGAAAGCATGGAAACGTCTGGCCGGAGAGTGGCCCCGGCCCTTGGCTTGGCATGGTCGAATTGTATTTCAACGCGGATATTCCTATCACGAGTAGGTCAAGTAATGACTCTAGATACCAAGCGAGAAGGTGAAACGGCAGGCTCAAACAAGGTCGAGGAGCCGAAGTCTGTAGTTCGACGACGAATGCAGGTGGTCTTTTCGCCCTGCTTACCTCCCCAGTCTCGCAATTTCGTTGTAACAACACTTGGCCTGCAAGGCCTTAGACCAGCAAGCTGACTCTTCAAAACATGCATGCTTTTAACTCTTTCCAATCTTTTAGACTGATAATGAAGAGCGTAAAAGTTTTCATAGATGCGGCACGAAGGGCCTAGGTTCCACGTTTTGATTTGCAGCACCAGTTTAGTCCATATACCGGGAGTTTGCATAGGGGCACTACCGGAAGTCAAGTGTTCATAGACGTACGTTGTCTCTGATGACGCAGCACATCCATGATCCCAGAATCCTCAACTTAGCCTATGATATGAGGGCGCACATAATCGTTCAAAATGTGACTGGCACGGGCCTAAGTTACGTAAGCATTGAAACAGAGCATGATGCTAATCTCTCTGTCATGCAGTGCATGCCGCCCAGTATATAGCCCTCGGTGACTCAATGGTCTATAGTACGCGCACATGTTGCTTGGTATATACACTAGCATCCTACTGCGAACCATGACCGAAAGTCCCATGGGCGGGGTGCACCGAATCTTCGGCCGGGGAGCCTATAAGTACGCGCATGTCGTAGGAAAGATTTTCGAACTATTGGACAGCTAGAGAGTCTTATGCGAATGCTTATATATTGCAGCGGGCACAAACCTTTCAAAAGTATAATGTCTTTGATGGTCCATTCCCATGAGTGCGCTCATTGCAATTCAATGCATGGACGCAAAGATCTTGATTGCACATCCGCAAGCTTGCATGATCAGCTTCCATGAGCTCCGTGTCGCGAAAGGCAATCTATGTCGTCAGTAACAAGCGATCCCCCTTTTCCCTGTACGGTTCGCACTTTAGAAGTGTTACGAGCTGCATCAACATGTAACCTTCGATCTTTGGTGGCTTCAGAAGGCCTTCATTTGACAGTACACTCTGTATGTGCTGAGACTACTCCTTCAGGCTCCGTAATGACTCTCTGGACATTGCTGGGACTCACACAAGAACTTGCACGACCTAACTTACACACCAAGGGCAGAATTGAAGCTGTGCTGTAGGCCAGCAGCCATTACTTGTTGTGAGAAGCTCTGAATCTGCTTCTTTGCATCTGGAACAATGGAAGGACATCGTCAGAAACTGGACGACCTCTACTTGATTCCTACTCGAAGGAAGCAGTTAATTACGAAAGCATACCTCCAGGATCTACTGGAAGCAAGCAACCACAGACAAAGCGAGCTGAGAAGCAAACGCACAGAGATTACAAAGTGAGACGTCTGGCTTGCAAGACATTCGTGCAACACTCACACCTTGATCTGCAAGTAATCAACTTCGTGGAATAAAGGGAATCAAACTCAATCGCAGGGGGTTGACCGACCTTTTCGACACTTTGTGAAGCCAATGATGTTCGACACCCCCAGGACCACAGCAACAGCGACGATGAGCAGATAGTCGAACTGGAATTTGATGAGGGCGATCGCTCCAAGTACGATCCAGAGGGCGGGCTGCAGAACAGATCAAAAAATAGATCACAGATCAATCGACTGTGAGCAATGTCGAAGACGAGGACCCTCCTCGATATTGCAATTGGAGAGAAGGCTTCACAGATGCTAAAAACTCAAGCGGGACAGCAGAGGAGCCACCCTACAGGCTTCTAACTTAGCTTGTATACGCGGGATGCATTGCCTGTGGCAGAAGAATTACTGGCTTACCGTGATATACAAGGTCCACCAAAACAGCCAACCGTCCTTTTTACTTAGCTGCTCCATTGCCTGGGGGAGGAGGCAGAAGGAAAGTTCAATTCCCAACGCTTGTTCTGAAAGCCCGCCTGATCAGAGCAGGGCAAAGAAGGCGATTGCGGGACACATACTCACTTCTCTGACTCAAAAACTGCTTGTGAGAACACACAACCTAAACCCCGTCGTGGGTTGCGAATAGCTGGGTAGGAGATACATCGATGAAATTCTTATGAAAGCCGAATCAAGAAGTTGGGAAACCAGCTGCTGGTGCTTGGGGGTCCGCAGCAGATCTCATATACCAGTGGTAGTGAAGGTGTAAGATGCCCCCCTCACCTGCTGATCCAAGGACTCAAAGCGCCACAAGGACTCCCCCTGCTCATCCGTCTCGTTCCACCACCGCATCCCCACCAACCGCCTCCCACTCACGTTCTTTATGGTCCAAAAGTCAAAGGCTATCAGGACGACACAGATGACGAAATGCAGGATGAAGCTGCTTGTGAAGAGGCTGCAGACGACGTACCACGTCAACGCGGCTCCCTGCACAAGATGAAGGTAGCGGGTGGTCACATGATGGTCGTGGAGTCCACCAGAGGAGAGAAAGGGTGCGCAAGCAACTTCACAAGGTCAACAACCCAAGCAGCACAACAGTGACACCAAGCAATCGTTCCTGGCAGTTTTGTCAAATCTAGTTCGACAAGCAATTTTGGGCGACATCGTTGAAGATGCACATGATACCCTTGTCGTAAGCAGTGTCAGCAACTTCATCGAATCATCACCTGGCAGCATACCTTGAAAAATACGTGAAAGAAGACGGTCCAGGGATTCCCATAGCCTGTGAGGATCGATTCTTGAGGAGGCGCAGGAGCATCAGCCTGCAGGGATAACAAGAATCTTTGCCAGCTTTGAAAGCAACTCTGCTTGCCCGCCACCTTTCTGGCGATATACTCAAGCCAGACTGCATTGAACGCAGATTCAAACGGCACCGAGCAAGCATAGACTCTACGGCTGTGCTTACAGATCTCAGACCTGCGAGCGAGATAAGGTGGCAACCTGCTCAACAGTTCTGCTACGAATCGAAGAACAGATCTCACCATGGTGTTCAGAAGCCCAAGTTAATGCACACGGGGTAGCTGAGCCAGCTGCATAAGAGATATTGACAAGAAGCACTATCCTTCCAACCGCCGTGTGGTTTGGGCCCTCATCAATCGAGCAAGAAGAAGGGTGACTCAAGTTGGCCAATCAATGAATCTCTTGTGAAAGGGTCCTTTCTAATCAGCAATCAAATCGCCTTGATCCCGCCCACCACTTCAACTCTTAACCGCTGATCCACGATACGCTGGCAATCGGTGTGAATGAGTGGAGCCCCAGAAAGAGCTCAGAGTCAAGGTACTTGCACAAGCTCCAGAACTCGATCAAAGAGCCTGCTTGAGAGCCACGGTTACAAAAGAAGAGCGCCTCCCTGATTAGGGTTGCAACTTGCTTTCACTGTTCAGAACTGGAGTGCTCATCTGATCTGCGGCCAGCCTTAGGCTTGTGCTGGCATCTTCTACCGCGGTATAAACGTTCACGCCCCCTCCTCCAGGCTGCATCCCACCTGGCTCTCAATGAAGGTCACGGCTGGCCGTTCGATGCGTCTGCCTATCCATATTGGATGTCTCGATTTCAATGCGTCCTTGGCTTCGATTTTGCGTGGGGGCATGCGCTGCAGCCTGCTGCCACCCTCATGCAGCTTTGCTTCTCTGAAGACTGAGTCTGAGTCTCCGCATGAGGCATGCCATTGCTGTGCTTGAGCTTGGAGTTGAGTTGTGGCGCATAAAAGTTGGTTGTGGGGAGTTGTGCCGGTGAAAGAGTGCCTTTTCTAGTCACTTGAAGAGCTGGTTAAAGCAGGCAGTGGCGGATGCTGCTGGCGCCAGCCGCCTTATTACGGTTGCTGCGGATGCTCTCTCTGCCTTTTACTTGCTTTTTGGTCACACCAAGACCGCGTTCATTGGTTTGCCCTCTCTTACCCAGCTCCTCAAGTTCAAGTAAAGGGACTCTTGCGCAAACGAGGTGTCAGGTTGGCCAGTTTGCAGCAAAAGCTGCAGAGAAAACAAGTTAACTAGGCGCTGGAATCATATTCCATTAGGGCCCGCTTGAGTGGTTGGACATGGGGACCCCTTTGGTGCAGCTGGGGTCCCCATCTGCTGAGCGCAGGAGCGCCTCAAAAGCTGCACAGAAGGCGGAGGCATACAGCCAGCTAGCGGAGAAGAGCCTCCGTGGCTCTTACAATGAGAAAGTTGCTGACATTCTCCAGAGCCACTCATACAATTTTGTGTTGTCTGACCCAACCCTGCCAGACAATCCAATCGTGTATGCCAGCCAGGGTTTTCTTAGCATGACGGGATACTCGAGGGAGGAGATTATTGGCCGCAACTGCAGGTTTCTCCAAGGGCCGGACACCGATCGACGCACCGTGCTGATGATTCGGGAAGCCTGTCGAGAAGAGAGGGCTGTGCAGGTGAGTGGCGTCCTGAGCTGCTGATAGGTCTTGAACCACAAATGGACGTTGTTTTGACCAGAAGAAGCTACCCTGCATTAGCTTGTCATTTACTTGTAGCCTACTTTGCGTTGTTAGAGCATTTTTGGGCAGCCACTTGAGGAGGGCTACAACAAGACCTTATATCCGCTGACTGGAGCCTGATGTCAGTGAAAGGAAAGCTGCAAACTGGCGCCTCATGTTGCTCATCGTATTGGATGATTTGAACTGCGGATAAGCTTTCTCTTGGTGGTTTCATCTGTTTACCAGCCTCTCGTTCGTTCACTACTTTCCTTGAAAGGTTGCGGTTCTTGCTTATGGGATGTTTGTTTTTAAAGCTGTGACACAGCTCTCTTCCTTTGCAGGTAAGGTGCCACTTTTTCAGCCGCCTTCAGAAAGCTTTGTGTGACGTTCTTCAACCCTAGTTTTTGAGGGGTCAGTGTAGTTGTTTCAGGACTGAATACCTCTTTTCTGCTGGCAGGTGCGCATCTTGAACTACACCAAAGACGGCAAGCCCTTCTGGAACCTCTTCCACATGGCGCCTATCTTCTGCAGCGAGACGGGCAAGGTGGTGCACTACATAGGTGAGTCGGCATGATGGCAGCATGATGTCAGCAAGGTCAGGGAGTGTGGTGTCAGTAATCTCATTTGTACTTTGAGTGCGTATGGCCGGCTTGGTTCCATAAGCACGCTGAGGCACATGCCTGTCAGCATGCATTGCCAGATTGTGACGTATGTCCTCTGCCGAGCTGCATTTTGCATGGAAGCTGCCGCAGTGTTTCTTTGTATGCAGCAACCTTAAGGAGGAGACACTGGTTAATAAGTCAGAGCAGAAATACCAGGCCAGGTGTAATTCGCCATGTGATGCAGTGAAGGAGTATAAAAAGGTTGAACGCAGTTTTTCTGTCAGGCGGTTTGATCATTTTAAGGGGTGCGTCAAACGTTTCTGCCTTCTGCTGTCGTGTGAGCTCCCTTCATGCTCCAGATAAGCAGGCTGCTCAGTGCATGATGAGTATTGACGACACTGAACACCTGAACAGGCTCTGCAAGCGTCCCTTCATCAGCCTTCAAGATGCTCGGTCTCCGCCAGTCTGCGACATTGACGAAGGTTTTGTACTTCATCCCGGGCGAAGGATTCTGAGCTAGAAAATCAGATCAACCGGACGGAGTAATATCGTTCGTTTCTTCGAAGCGAAACAATGCAATTTGGATCCCCGTCTCACGGACTGCGTTCTTTTTATTTGACTGAATCGGATGGATCGTGATTGGACCGCAATGGCGGTGACAGACCCATGCGAAGTTCTAGGCATCTGTCGAGCTGGGCAAACAAAAAAGCGGGGCGCGTTGTCATGAAAGACAAAATAACTCCAGCAAGGGTCTGATTCCTTAGAAAACCCCAAATCCTCTCCAGTGGCCTGGTCCAAAGTGGTCCAAAGCTTCAATACGATTGTTGGCGAGGGAACTCAAAAGGGAGAGCCGCTCTGTTGAGAGATCAAGAGCCGTCAAGCAAGCGCATAAATCCAAAACCAGGGCGTCCAAGGAAGTCGTAGAAAGGCGTTGGGATGTCCCAAACCGTCGCTCGTCCTTGCCCAAGCATCTCCATACAAAATCTTCTTAGTTCCAACAGTTAACCTGTCTGTCTCCCTTGCAGGTGTCCAAACGCCCATCAGTCAGTCCCTCGCGAAGTCCCCCGCATTCACTTCCTCCGGCGCTCCTTCTCCTGTCGGCAAACCGCCCCTGCCACCATCCCCAAGACCCGCCAATGGCCCTCCCACACCCCCACCTAGTACTGCGTCGCCACGACTAGGAAGCCCCGAACCTGAAACTACCGTAGAAGATACAGTACAGATTGCCGTCCCAATGGAGCTAATAGGGGGCTCCGCAGAGCCTGATTTGTCCCCCCCAGAAGACAGGGTTAAGGCGCTAACCGCAGTAAAGGCGGTGGTTGGGGATCTCAAGACGTGTGGGGAGGGGAAGGTGGAATTTGAGAAGGTGTCGCGGGGGGAGCCGTTGGACCCCAAGGCGGCGCGCGTGGTGTGCTCGTCGCTCGTGCTGACGCTGACCAAGATTCAGCAGAGCTTTGTGTTGTGAGTGGCAGTTTCTTCTTTGTAAGCGCCTTGCGCTGTCAAGTATGTGGTAAACTCCGCACCTGGAGCTTCGGTCTCAAATTGTCTTCTGAGGAAAGACCTTTTGAAGCTCTTTCTTTCATCGAGAACGGAAGGTGTAGGGTATGGGGGACCTCAGTTCAATGTCAAGATCTTGAAGTGCGTGCATGGGTGTGTTCGAAAAGCATGGCCGATTCCATCGTTTTCACCTCTCTTTCTCCTTCCTTTCAGCTATGTCCATCCTCTGAACTTAGTAGCAGATGGAACAGTCGTTACAGGATGCAGTCTGCTTTCTTTTGGTATCTCCAGAATCAATAAAGCCGTACCTGAGGCCTGTGCTGAACAGTTTGGTGCGTGCTGTCTGTTGCAGGGCCAACCCTAACCTGGAGGACTGTCCAATAGTCCATGCAAGCGACGTGTTCCTTGAGCTTACAGGTAGATGCACAAAGTCCGTTCGCTTTTGGTTCTTGCTGCTTGTTTGATTAGTTGAGGGTGCCAGTATACGGTCTTCCAACAGTCCATTCCTTCCAATCGCAAGTCCTGGTCTTGGCCTTCAGTGTCCGACGAATGGTCCCCTCAGATGCGTTTCTCAGAATGCCGTTAGCTTCGCTTTCCTTTGCCTCCGTTAGCTTCCCTGCTGGTGCCCTGCCGCTCCTTCTAATGTCTCGTTCTGTACCAACCCAGCGTATTTCCTATTTTGCCAGATGCTATAAGAGGTCGCTCTCGTTGCTTCACAGTGGCCCATGTTTACTCGTAGACATGACAAGTTCAACAGTGCACATCTGCATTGAAGATTCTGGGTCAGCAAACGGCTAGTCTGATCCTGAACGCCACCCCCTTTTGAACTCTTACAGGTTACCCCCGCGAGGAGGTTGTCGGGCGTAACTGCCGCTTCCTCCAGGGCCCCGAAACCGAACCGGAGTCGGTGCGCGAGATTCGGGAGGCAATTGCTGCGGACAAGCCGTGCACGGTGCGGCTGCTCAACTATCGGAAAGACGGGACGCCGTTCTGGAACAACCTGCACGTCTCGCCCATTCGCAACGCTTGTGGCAAGGTGGGTCCTATCTTCCCTGGTTCAAACAAAACAAAAACGCAGGTCAGATTGGAGCGCATACTTAACAGCACGCCCGTCAGCCTCCACGTGTATTTTCTTCAGGTTTTGCATTGAGCAGGGGTGTTGGTTGTTCCCGTGAATTGTTCCCTTGAGTGCATAGCGAAGAGGCTTATGTGAGGTCTCTTTTAGCGGTGTGGAGGTCTGTGGGTCCAGGGATGTCAACTCGACTTTTCTGTGAATGGAGCAGTGGGACGTAGTTTTTTGGTTTCTGGATCCCATTAGAGGGCGGCGCTGATGTACCTGTATTGCTGACTGCATCCACGCATCCACGTTTTTTTCAAAGGTTGATATTGTGAGTTTAGACGTAGTTTTGTGTCCACATCTCGATTTGTTGCTCCATACTGATTCAGCGTCCTGTCTGGACGCTAAGTTTGGCCATCACCTTCTCTCCACTTCTTTCCCCTACTGTCTGCGGATTCAGGCGCAGCCTTACCTTTTGACGGGAGCCTCTGTGCATTTACAGCGTGCTTTATTCTTGACTGTGTACGCTTTTTGACTCTGTACGCTGCTTTTATCTTGATTGGTTTTTCTCTGGTCTTTCTGGCTTGAAAGGGCAAGGACGAGCGACGGCCGGGGAGATTCCCATGCCTGTTCCGTGATTCGGACGCCCTGGTTCCGGAGTCATGGGCTTGCTTAACGGCTCGGTTCGCCACCAGAGCGGCTTTCTGCATTGGAATTGCTCGCCAACAGTCCCACTGAAAGCGAGTTACTCTGCACCAGGCCACTGAAGTTGTCTATGGAGATTAGACCCTTGCTGGGAATGTTTTATCTTCCATGACAAGCCCCCCACCTTTGGTTGCCCAGCTCGCCAGGTGTCTGGACTCTCTCATGGGTCCATCACCGCCGATGCGTGCCAATCACGATCCCTCCGAATTAGCGGAAGTCGAAGAACGAACTCCCTGAGAAGAAATCAAGCAGCTCAACTGCTTTATTCCTCTATAAACGAACGAATGGATCGGATCTCTCCTGTTGGGCTGAACTTACCCATTTATGACATGATGAGAGACAATTGTAAGTTGAGTCTTTGAAATTCGTACCCGCAGGTTGTTTACTACTGCGGGGTACAACTGGACGTGACGGCCGCAGACGGCATCAGCCCCCTCGACCGGGGCATGAGCTCCCGGTTGAAGCAACTAGGCGCCGTGGGCGCAGTAAGGGTCGCTGTTAGAGCGCTCGACGGATCCGGTCTTCGGCGGAACATGTCGTAGAAAGTAGAGCTTGACGAAGGACGTATACGCGTCCAATAGATTTAGGCTGTCGCAACAGTTTTCAGCGGCCTTGAAGCAGCGCTGCATGCTGACGTCAATCTATGTACCATGGTAAAAGAGAGGGGGGGGGTAAGGAGAGCTGTGTTCATTAGAGTCTGATTTTATTCAGGCAGAAGTACTTTCTGAGCTAGTATCATTACATTCTTCTTGAAGCACTGGCACGCCGAGTTGTTTAGCTAACAGGTCTTTGCTAAGCAGAGGTTTACATCACCACGTGCAGGTTAGCCTAGTAGGATCCCTCTTCTTGTCAAAGACAGTCGGTAACCGACCTTGACCATCGTGTTGTAATCACACCCATGTACTCTGTGATGCTGTTTGTTCTTTTTGTGCCATTACGTCCTGGCCTTGGATGAGCGATGAGCTATTCCTGGTTGGCCACCACCTATTGCAAGCATGTCTTTAACTGGAAAGCTGAGACCACCTTCAGTAAGACTTCTATCTGTGCTGCACGTAAGGTTGGCACTCTCAACTTGAGCCGGTCATGCAGCGGTACCTGTAGTGACATTAGATGGTCGACAGAGTCCGACGTGCCAGACAGTGGATATGCACGTATACGTTAGCGAGCAAGATCCGGTGGCTGGAGTGACTCAATCTCAAGTGATTGGCTTGTTGGCATCATCGCACGTTGTGCCATTGCCGTGGATCCAACGGTGGCGAGCTATTCATGAATTAGGGGTCCACTGCAAGTTAACTCAATCGACAATATGTGCAATTCGCACATGAGGCTGCCATGCATGCGGGCGCGCCAGCCCGGGCATGACCTTAGGGCATGGCAGCCATGACGGGTCCCGTGTGCATGGGCCACGTGCACATATATATGTGCACGCGTCATGTGTGCATCACGTGGGGCTGGCATGCATGCCCCGGCGCACACTGTGTGAGTATATAATGGTGTAGAGCTGCCAACCATGCCACACCAGCTGCATGCACCTGTGCAGATTGCTAGCTTGCAATTTATTCGATTTATATTCAATATGGATATATGTCGAAGTGCAAATCTGTCAAGAATGCAAGTAATTTTCTTGCATCCTAAGTTCTAGCTGTAAGATCCGATCCGGTCGCATTCCAATGAATGTCAAACACGTGCTCACAAATCTTGCGAACTCTCCACCACAAGACCAATGCAGTGGGTGCCTTCAGATGCTAGCGCTAAACAAGCTGCGCCGCCAATCAAGTCGTGCTTTGTCCACGATAAACACGAAAAAGCGATTCGATAGTGTCAACTTTGTACATACTCGCAGCAGGAAGGGTCCTGCTGATGATAGCCCACCTGAATTGCAACCCACCTAAAAGCGGGTCTGCAACTCCCGATTTCTGGTATAGAAACGATCACAACCCCTCTCTTACTTCTTCAACCCGTCAAGAAAACCCAGAACTTTCGTCGCCACTTCTTGCGGAAACTCCTCGTGCGGCAGCAACGCCCCTGGAACGTCACCGTATTCGGCGACGCCCTTGACTCCCTTGAGGGCGTCCATTTCGGCCTTGGATCGCTTGGGGCTCTGGATCGACTTCAACACGAAGAGCGGCACCTTGCTGTCCAGGCTCGCAATGTCGCTAAGCAACTCGTCCCGCGTCAGATACTGCACGAGAATTGAGACGGACTTAGCTACTGGTGAGCGCTTTTCAGGGGTCAAATTTTGCACGGGGTTAAGCCAGGGTCGGACGGAACGAAAAATCATCGTGGTCAAAGCTGCACCGGATCACAAAGTGCTAAGCCAGATCATTTCAGACGAACCCCTTTGCAGTGGAACGCGAGAACTGAGTTCACATCCGACCAGATTGTCTGTAAGCCGATTGAGGCGATGGAAGCAGCAGAAGATGATGACATGTCAAACGTAAGCCAACCGGTGTTGATCGACGTGCAAGTGGGCATCCGACAACAACGGAGCAATCTGGGGTTAGGTTCTTTTGAGATCTTGATTTAACCATGAGATGATATGCTCAATGATAGAGAATCAAAGACGTTAGTCGACAAATCCTGCATGCCGATTGAAAGGGAAGGCTTAAGCTTCACTGACCGGGTCGAGATCGCCCGTGACAAACGCCGCTGGCGCAAAGCGCGCCCCCTCACGCTGCGTGAGCTCCGTCCGAATGTTAATGAGGTCGTCCGTAATATTGTCCTTGCTGGAGTAGACGTGCGTCCGGTACTGGTTGCGGATGTTCTTAGGGCTGGACAGTACGAACTTGTACAGGGCCCAGCCGAGACCGGGGGACCGCAACACCGTCCGCAAAATGTTGTACCTGTAGGAGGTGTCCAAAATGTCAACACCTTTCAAAAAGGCAGTTGTCTTGGGGCTGGGCAGCACGAAATCGGGCAAAGCCCAACCGAAACCGGGGGAGCGGAGGACCGTCCGCAGAATGTTGTACCTACACGAAGTGTCCGAAACGTCAGAACGGAAGTGCTGAGTACAGAGTCTCTTGGGAGTGGCGAAGAAGAATCTGTACAAGGCCCGGGTTCGGACAGAAGGGAGCGGAAGACCGTCCGCAGTTAGCCTGTTAGTGTTGTCCGCATTGTCCGCGGTGTCGAGAACTTTCAGCGTGCTAGTGTTTTGAAAGCTGGACAAGACCACATTTTAAGGCCGCGAAGAGGCCAGGGGAGCGCAGCATCGTCCGCAGAATGTTGTGACTATATGAAACGATTGGGAATAATCAATGTGTCGATGGGAGGCCATAAAATGCTTATGAAGGTCCTTCTTGCGGAAGAGGACAGAGCTTTACGCGCCCAGCCTGAACCATGAAAGCCGGACCGTGCAAAGACTGTTGTAGCTGAAAGAACTGTACGCAATTCACAAAATGAGCGACATCCAAGGCAGGTATAAAATTGTATAGGACTCGGAAAAGCGCAGGACAGCCGATGACTCCGTCCCTTATAAAGATAAGGTCAGGACCCTTGATTGTCACTCCCTTAGCAATGTCAATCATTCTGCAGAATGGCGGGGTTTCCCGGAATCAAAATCATAAGTCACACGAGCGACGGTGTGCCGAGCACCACACGGGGTGGGTATATCTAGACCGAGGCACGGAGTTGCTCCAGAACAGGAAATTCAACCTCTAGATTCCGAATGAATTAGTCACGCGCGTACCAGACTGAAGGTACTGATCAGCACAAGTTGACGAACTCGATACGGCACTAAAAATAACAGCAAAGCTACCTTCAAAGTCCCGTTGCATAGGATCACGTGAGTCGGTTCAGAATTAGCGACCATTTTGCTAAGGGCCCATCAAAGATTGGCTTAATTTACCGTAGCGACATTCCATTCGCACTAAGTTCATTGATTTTAGGCCGTTGCGAAGAGATCAAAGTTAACCTTCAGCCTTGGTGCGGAATTGCGAAATCGAAATGAATTCAGATTAAGCCTGTAAACATGCAAAAACAGGCTTAAAACAGCCAGAAATTGGATCTTGCGACCAAAAACAAAAGCACCCCATCAGTCGGTGCGAAATGGGAAAACGTTCGAAATCAATAATTCGCACCAAGGTGGTGCGAACGGCAATGTCGCTACGGGCACTGCACCGAAACTGGGAAACTCGCTTCAGAATCTTTCAAGGTTTTGCGACAAACTTTTGAACAAGTCCCTCAACCAACGTGGCAGTAGGGCTTGAAAAAAGAGCGCATCGACCTGTCACCCCAACCGAACAAACAGGATCAAAAGTGGACCAGGCCCCTGGAGCTTTAATAGACTGATCACTCTTTTCAAAACCAATGAAGGTGACGGAGTCGCTTGAGGCCAATGCTCAAACGGGATCCATGACCAAATCTTCCTCCTCGGGGCTCAGCTGTACAAGTGTATCTCGCAAAATACAATTTTATAATCAAAATGTGATCCTGGCTTAGGTTCTGACGCTCTCATCAGAAACTTGGATGCTCACCTGTTCTGAACCTTGGGCTCCCGACCAAACACAATGGGCAGTGGTCCCGCCCATGTAGGCGCCACTGCGATTAGCGCCTTGGCAGAGAGCAGGCCCTGCTTGATGGCCTTGACAACTAGGGAGGGGGAGTGCCCTGCTCCAACGATGCTCACGGTCTGGCTCTTAGCGAGGGGGCCGTTGGAAGCGGATACGAAGTCACCGATGAACTTAACCTGGAGGCAAAAGGTCGGAACCATGATAATGTGTCACAGGGCAACTGTTCAGTCCTTGAATTAATTAAAAGTGATCCAGAGCATACAGTCGCTCCTATTGCTGGGCTGGGCCGAGTGCCACGAATGATGACCGGATGTTACAATGAATTCAGAACGTTAGGTGGACTGTTGGAACTTACCAGCTCCCTGGGACAAGTCCTGAACGTTCGGGGCTTTGTCAAACAACAGTTGGAAAGTGTGTGGGAGATTAAATCTTTGCTAAAACTCCAGCCGTCCTCGCACACAACCAGAGTCCAGCCGGTTGCAGCCCCTTAGCAAGGCGGAGTGCATAAAAACTTCTGCCCAACCTTTCCCCACTGAAAACAACTTCTTCTTCAACACCCAAATGAGGGTCAGACTTCTCCTGACCGACTTCGATAGATCACTCATTGTCAAGCCCAGAAGGCGGAGGCAAACAAGATACAAAAACTCATGCTGCTCTCACCAACAAGTCTGATGAGTACTCCATCTGTGGCCGCCCGGACAGCCCAAATCCCGGCCAATCGAGCGCCACCGCTCGCCTGCCAGAGCCCGCCACCGCCTCCGCGACCTTCCGGAACTCATCAGTCGTGCTGACATCAGACAGGGCGGGCAGGAAAAGGACGGCTTCTTCTGAATCGCTCGGGCCCCACTCCTCAATGTAAATGTTGAAGGGCTGGTTCTTGAAGGTCCAACTCCAACTTGAAACGCGCTTCTGCAGAAGCAGAGAAAATTCCGAACTCTTTAGAAACTTGCGGGCGGTGGCTTCCAGTTTTAAAAAGCGTTGGATTTCTGTTTTTGAAATATCTCATGAAGCGGCTGTCAGTGCATGTACAAACACAAGCTTTTCGCGGACAAAAGCTGAAACTAGTTGAAAGCTTGATATTGGTTAGTTTCGACAGCGGGGTGTGAGCAAATATAGCAGAAACTTATGACCGCTGATGGGGCGAAGGTGAGCAAAAGTGGTCGTAGATACAGTTTCAATAAAATCGAACTTGGCTGCCTGCAAGAGAAAACAACAGGACCAAGAGAGAGGTCCTCAGATAACCCCTTCATGTTGATTACAACACAGATCTTGCATGCCCTGGTACAAAGATCTAACAGATGTAGCAGAATCTCATGGACAACACATAACAGTGACAAGGTGAGCGGGCGGACTTGAAAGCCAACCCAAATCAACCATGCAATATGAAGAACTCAGAGCCCAACTGTTTGAGAAATCAGGGAGTTTTTCTATCTCACAAACACAGATCACCATTCCTCCAACACTCGATTGCAAGGTAAAGCTGACCTCCATAGCCCCTTGCTCTGACCCCGCTGCCGGGGCCGCCACACTCGTCGCCTGCGCCGCCGTCGCCACACTTCTCTTAACCCTTGTCTGGTTATGCAAACCCCCAGCCACATTTACCCCCCACTCACTCACAGGCGATCGATGGCCGTCAAACGCCGTGCTGAAAACTGAAGCTGAGGTGCTAGGCTCTTCAAATCGATGAGTGGGCATTTGGGCGGCTGCCCTTGGGTTTGCGGGAAAGGCGCATAGTGGGGGCCGGGCCGCTCGAAAAGAGCGGGAAGCAAGGATCGCTTGGCACTGCCCAGAGAGGGCAGCCGAGGAGCGCAGCGCCGCACTCTGCATTGTGTCTTAAGCTGGTGGTGGTGCGCAACACAAAGACGCTAATGGGGTCAACTGCTCCTTGAGATGCTAAAATCCTAGGTAAAAGCGAAACAGGAATGCAACTTGCAAGCCCTCCAAGAATGTCTGCGAGGTTGGAAACTGTGGCTGCTTCAACAGCTTCCTGAACTTGAAGAGCAAATTGCAATGTGCCCTGAGTGTGTCTGGCGTGGGAGGCTTCGAGCCGTCCGATATGCTCAAAAAATATCCACGGTCTACGATGCACTTTCTGAAGTTTCCTGCGCGCGGCCGGCTGGATTGAAACTCCGGTCGGAACCTCCGTTGAACCCTGCGCATGGCGCCGGCCGGTCGCGGCCGCTTTCAATCGCCGCCGCGTACGTCTCGGCGACCTGGTCAGAGTAGTGAATTGCGCCGCCTCGATTCGTCTGGGGGGTAACCGAAGCAGCAAAGCAGGCCGCTGCTCTGTGACATCTAAAGCTCATCTGATGGATCCCAATTTCGCCTTCGGCGCCGCTTACGGCATCTTTCTTGCAATAGCGGTGAGCCTTGTCGCCTTGTTGAACAAACATCCTTTCGAAGTTGCTCGTGAGTTCTGGAACTTTGAACTAAGTGCTTCTGGTACACGAGTCTAGCTTTCAGCCTCTGTTTTAGGAAAAATGCCATTCTGACCGGAATGCAGGAATGCACGTGAAGGTCTGACTGCCAATAAATCATAGGCACCACTATTCCTTCCATGGTTGCACCCCAACTCCAATCTTAGCGGTCAGTGTTCTCTTGTTCTAGAAATGTCAAGTTTGCAGCTTTGCATGATTCTTTGACTTGCCAGAGTTACTGCTAACGATCAACTAGTGAGTCCTGGCCATCATCCTTTGAAAGGTTTAACGCCCACAATGTCTTGGCACTTTGACTTACTGGCTTTCGCTTTATAGTGCAAGAAGTCTTACCAGCATTTCAACCGAGTCTAAGCTCAGGTGCAATAATCCTCGTCTATCAAAAGAATCTGATCACCGTGCGATGATTTTCTCCTGGACTGGTTCCTCCTTTCTACTTCCAGGTGATGTCCGTCGCGCGATTCTTGGACGAAAGGATCAGCGTGGAGCAAGCAGTGACGAAACGCCTGAAGACTACGCAGGAACAGATGGAGAGGCTCGAAAAGGCTATCATGGACACTAAGCTCAGTCTTGCTCGGGTCGAGGGAAAAGTGGACGGGAAGCTCTCTTTGCTGCCCGTACCCAGCTAATGTTGCGAATAAGTGCAAGGGAAGCTTAGCAGTTTCAACAGATCCCCTTATTGGTTCATTCCCTGATTTGCATGCCGATCGATGTAGTAAACAGTAACAGCCAGTGAAGAGTAACGGATACGGGTAGGGTTGGTTAGGGGGTTGGGGTGGGGTGCGGAGCGGGTGATCTTTCGGGTTAGGGTTTTTAGTATACCCCAATTGCTTACTGCTCACTAGATCGGAGAATAATACCTGATTTGCGACCGCATCAATGGCGATTGGGGGCATGCTGGTTAGCTGCATGCATGTGCCACATCTTTTGTGGTAGCGTGGTGTTGAAAGAGGTCGCCGTCGAGAGGGCCAGTCAGAATGTAGGGGGGAAATGGCGAGCCGCTCTTTAAATTGCAGTGGGACCTCACTCTGTGCATCTTCGTGGTGAACTTGAGATATGTTCAACAAAGTATACTGCCTGACGAAATGTGCACGTTCGACGACTTGATAAACTTCCCTTCACATATGAGGGAAGTTCTCTCGATCGGATCCGCAGTGCATGAGCTGTTATCATGTCAACGTGTGAGACCCGACTTAGACGACTACCATCCTTTTCAGGGCAATGAAAAACGCATGCCACCAGTGTTGAAGTTGCCAGCAAGCAAACTCGGTCTCTCTTGCATCCGGAGACGCAATTCGCGCGTTAACTCAGGCATTAAGTGGAGATCGACTCCGGGATGAACTTTGCTTTACCTGCTGTACGTACAGGCCAGGCTTATATACCAGGCTCCTCTTACTCCGGTCCCGTCTCAGTCTTGGGCGATCAATCAATGACCACGGCCCACGTGGGAGGCCGCATATAAGCAGGCCAAACTCATACGAGATCGGATTCAACTCAAAATGCTAACACTAAGTATCTTACCTTCACATGCACGAGGCACGTAGCTTATCAGAAGCATAGGTCTACATATCTATTTAAACACCCCGCCTTCATGCTACCGAAACTCGTACAATACGATCAGCTGGCACAGCATCTAAGGCATGTACGCAGCATATGGACCGCGCGGGCAATTGACCATTGGCATGACGCATCATATTTCATGCCATCATCCTATGCAAAATCGCCTCACGTCCATGAAACTGTGCCCTTCCCGGCCATAATAAGCCTGCAGATGAACTCAACTCGGGCTTCTGTCAACCACTTTGCAAGGTAGAAATGCATCGTTCATCGGTCAATGCAACATAAGCCGATTGAATTCGTGACAACAGATCTGCGCGCCTACAACTCGTTCCTACTTCCGGAAAAGCTCTTCACTTTTGCGATCAACTCAGATGCTTGCTCCTTCAGCTCTACAAACACGGTGTACGCCTTCCGCGACAACACGCTCAAAAAGTCGTGGAGGCCGTCCGGCTCATACTTGTCGAACCGCCACTCTCGGTCAACAAGACGCCGCGGAACCGGCTCGTGCAACGACTCTGCAACACAGCCAAGTACACAGGTTTCAACACCTCTTGGATAAATCTTGGTTCGCGAGTGATGTTACGTGACTGCTGTCACGTCCGGCAGAAGTGTCTCTCACGCGGGGAGGATGCTCGAGGCCGGAGAATGCTTGATCTAAGAGTCTCAGTATGGACGAGCGGACTTTTCTACGTTTGACGAGGCCGACCAGCCGTTCCACTTCCTGATCTGCAAACGACCATCTTACGAGAAGAAAATGCTGTCGATGTGAGCGAAAGCGTGTTGCGGCCAAGATGAGAACCCCAATCAAGAGATGCGAAACAGAACTGCGAAGAGGGCTGTGCTTAGGAGACCCCCCCGAGCTGTTCAAGATGCCTGCTTTTGGGCAGAAGAGACCAAAGTAATACCATATAATTACGCAGCGCTATCCAATTCGGTGGACTCCAAATGACCAATCCAGCTGAAGAGCTCTCAAGGACTCTGCCTCAACATACGGCGCTTGTGACTAGAAATTTTCACCCCGAGCTCATCCCCCGGGGAAATGCTTAGGACCACTCACCCGCAAAGACGTTCCCGGTGGGCCCCACCGCCCGGCAGAATGGGTGCGTCTTGTTCCGCTCCACCGCCGCGCGCAGGTGCTCCCACGCGCGGCCGCGCTGCTCGTGGCTGATCCGGCCCGTCTGCGCGATCTGCACCGTCCGATGAAGAGGTCGTCAGTCGCTCGTAAAGACTGACGGTCACAAATGCCCGCGGTGTATGGAATTTTTACAAATTGCTGGGGCGTCAATCGAGGAAGGTAGCAGGTAAGCAGCTGAGTAACAAACCGTCCGGTTGCACGCTCTGTCGCATTGAAGGAGGACGATGCACTTCTTGAGAAGATGGAGATATGCAAGCAAACCTCAAGCACAAAAATTCAAAAATTAGTCTTCAAAACCACCTTCGCATATGCAGGCAATCAGCTGTCATATCTGGTCAACCGTAGATAAACCATGGATGTTGGTCAAGCGTCTGTGACTTCCCAAGAAAACAATCGCGTACCTTTCTGAAGAGGTCGTACGACGGCCGCGGCAGCCGCTTGAAGTCGTTGGCGCGGTCGACGCGGACCAACCCAAACTTCGGACAGTAGCCGTCGGACCACTCCCAGTTGTCCGAAAGCGTCCAGTGAAAGTAGCCGTCCACGGGGACGCCCTGAACGCGAGGAACTAGCATGAGTAGGAGGTCCGGGCAACGTTTTTCAAAGTTAAGTTTTGTGTTTTGGGCGAAGAATCGTCTCGTCTAGGAGGATGGGATTGCGAGAGGGTGATTTGGTGGTTTCCTTCAGAACGCTTTTGACAGAGCGGTGGGCGACCTGTTTTGCCATGTGCGCCAAAAACGGGGTAGGAATCTGCACAAAAACTTGTCTCCAAGACTTCAAGATTTCATTGCAAAGGACGGGACGCGAGCTCACAGAAGCATTTTGCTTCTAAGACTGCGTTACTAAAGTGAAGTCAGCTGAGAACCAGCAAAAAAGAACCAAAACAAAAAACAAAGCCGATTGCTCAAGCATGCCAGGTTGCTGGTCAGATGAGGAGTTAAGGAACTTCGCTCTTACCTCCGCTTTGGCCGCAAACACGGCCAGCAAATGCTCCACGAGATAAGCGGGCCGCAACACGTCCTTATCATCGGCTATGCCGTTCTCCGTTATCACAAAACGGACGTTCGTCTTCTCGGGCGTGTTATACCGCTGGTGGAAGGACCATAGCGTATGGTACAGGCCGTCCGGGTATATTGCCCGGCCGGAGTCGCTAAACTCGATGCCTGGGGCGATGAACGGCCCGGTCCCTGACACAATCTCCTGGAGAAGAAAGCAGTCACGCACGTAAGGCATAGAATCTGGTTTTGTGAGTCGGCGTAAGTCTTTTGTTGCAAAAAAAAGAGCATGTAGGGCTGGAACTTGATTTTTGTTCTATGATCTCAGTTTGGCAGCTGCCCCGAGGTGCTTCGTCAGTCCATCGCCGCCTCACGAGATAATTCCGGAGGGATTCTCAGGTCTATACATTCGACGAGCCTCTGACGTACGATTGTGCCCGGACGCCTGCGAATGTTCTACAAAGTTCGTTGCACATTTTAAGCAGGCTCTTGATGAGAAAACGTCGCAACTCCTCCTTCGATATCAAGGTCGGAGAATGGTCATCGACACTTGCAGAATCCTGATTCTCCGACTCTGTAAACAAATTCGGCTCGGGCGGTCAGGAAGAACGCCCGAAAACAAGATTGTTTCGGTCGCTCAAGTTGGATCGTAATCAGACACCGCAACAAGTGCATCCGCTCGGACGCTCGGACGCCTGCGTAGAATTAAGCTCGGACGCCCACGCGAACAAAGTTCGGACGTCGGAGCAAACCTAATACATCAATCGGTCCCCTAGGATGAACCAAAGTTGGACGCCCAAGAAGAGCTTTCGGACGCCTAAATTGTTGTACTTGGGACGCCCGAGCAGAGTTTGAGTGCTCCCGTCGAACCAGAAATGGTCGCCCAAGCAAGATTTTGTTCGAAACGCTCCCGTCCAACTTCAAATCGGACGCCCACCTGTCCGTAGTAGTTGAGGCCGATGAAGTCAAGCTTGCCGCGCAGGCGGTCCGGTATGTACCAGCGGTTCACGTACTGCCCCAGCTTGGCGAGCGGCGCGTCGAACAGGCCCCACGGCCGCATCACCGCCGTGAAGTGGGCGATGCCAATCACTGGCTTTTTCCTGCATTGTTGAGCATATTTCTGAATTTTGTTTTGTGAAGAAAAGGGACTAGTTTAGGGGAAAGGTGGACCAAAGGGCCATGAAGATACCTGGCGTTTCCTGCTACACAACGAACTGTTGAACCTTGTTCCAGGAAAATGGAAGCCGAAATCAAAAGATTCAGCGAATCAATCATACAAACGGGGGACGCCCTTTTTCGAACCGTGTGGGCATACTGCCTCCAGCGCGAAAAAGAAATCGTGACCGAACGTTGAAAGCAGCCGCTCGGCTCTCAACGGCAAGGGGACATGGTGTCTTAGAGTTCGTCTCTAAGCGACATTTGTGTAATCCTGCATGAGATCTCAACTCCCCATACCGCGCAGATCAAAGGAATTGCTGTTCCACGTTGTATGCCAAAGGGATCTCCATGTCCTTCGAGTTTACGAAGGATAGCGCACTCAGATACAAGTTACGAGTCACAGAATCCGGTTGACTTCCTTGACTGCTCAATCAGCAGTCTGCAGCTGTACACTCCATGACCTCCGAGTTAGCTCGCCCTAACCCAGCGACTCTGGTTAAGTACCCACTCTACTACAAATCCCATGTTCTCCCAGAAACAACTAAAAACCCGCACAAGACCAGTTGGTTAGAAGACTCACTCGCTCGACATCCCGTGCATCGCATCGTACGCCTCACGATGCGCCTGGATCATGTGATCGACGGCCCCGAACAGCCGGCCAAACTTAGGAACGCCGCACAAGACAGTCTGCAGGAGAGACGGCCGGAAAGTGGGGCTGCGCCCCGGGGGCCAGTTGCCGGTGCAGTACGAGAGCGTCGCAAAGATTTGGGCCTCGTTGAAGAGGACGTAGCGGTCTACGAGGTCGCCCAATTCGCGGTGAACCACCCTGCGCAGACGAAGGTACGGACCTATGCCTTTTGCCGTTCCTTTGGCTGCTCTCTCTTTCAACAGCAACTCTCTCTGGAAGGGAGTGGGACAAGTAAAATCTCTCACCCCAACGCTCAAATAGGACGGTATTCTTCTCGATTGCGGAAATGCTTTGGATGATGCCAGGAACCGCTGAGGATCCACAATCAACAGCTCAAGATTCAGTAATTTCTACAAGCCCTCATGTTGAGATGAAACGAAGTGTGCCAAGCGCTTGACCATCTGCTTGTGAGTTATGTCTCCTTCAAACCCAACAAACAGTCGGTATGAGTCAGCTCGACGATGCCTGAAGTGGTGGCCACCGAGGAATGTTTGGTTTTCTCAGACAATAGCATATGAACCTCGCAAAAATGGAACCCTTGTGTGAACGGCTCGAGTTTGTGGGGAGATTCAGATGCGGCCGGGCAAACCCGTTTCTAAACAGCACTTTCCTCCTCAGCTTACTAAGCGGCACATGAGTCAACTTCTCCCCCCATCCCCCCTCCCACCACCACCCCTCCATCATGTGTAGTGCACCAGCCAGCCCCGCAATGTGTAACTAGACACGAATTTGCAACTAGACAGGCGGCAGAAAGCTTACACGCTGAATTCCACGAAGTACTTGATTGTCCTCTTGTCCGTCCAGCCACCGTATGGGATTGCCCACTTTGGCATCGAGTGGTGGAACAAGGTTAGCATAACCCGCATGCCATGCGCCCTAACCCGCTCCAGGATGCCCCGGTAGTGCTCCAGGGCTTGCCGGTCAAGCTGCACATGAACGGCGCAAGATACAATCATTGACAAAAGAACACTTTCGTCAGAGCGATAGTTGTAACACGTTGTGCCATTATGGAAGCTTGTAACCCGTCGAAAACGGCAGACTGTCTCAATTGTTCTCGAAGCTGTATGGATGGGTTGTGATGGTTCCTCAAGGGTGTCAGCAACTCATTGAACTCCTCCACCTATAGCCCTTGATTTGCTGAACGCAATTACGATTCAACACCACCCGCTTTGCATACATCAACCGAACCGAGGCAAAAAGACCTAACCATCTAAGCATGGTATTCTCTCCGCTCAAACAACAAGTTCCTGCACCATAGAGATTGTGCACTTACCATATTCACTGTTCCTTCGATGGGTTCTGTCGGAACCAGCCTCCCCCAGTCCACCCCCAGACGGTACTCCTTAACCCCCGCCTCTGCCGCTAACCTGATTTCTGTCTCAGCATCGCTCCAAAAGCGCACACGCTGCTCTGGGAAGGGCACGTTGTGCCAAGCGGGGACGTTGAGCGGGTTAGGCAGGTTGGTGTCGGGGTCAACCCCGGGTTTGGTCGCTTTGGCAAAGTCGAGCCAGCTGTCGTCCAGCTGGTCCTCCACATGGGCGGGCGCAGTGGCGAGGCCGAAAGCGAAGCAGTCTGCAGGAAATGAATTGGATATTTTGGGTTAAGACGAGGCTAGTGAGGGACTGAGAAAGCGAAACGACGTTTTAGCAATCTCTTCAAGACGGTTTGAACCCTGAAGGGCTGGGAACTGTGCATTTGAAGCACTGCAGGGGTACAAACTGGGGCATGTTCTTTGACCAAGTGATGAAAATGAGGCAATGAAGGTTGTCCGATGCGGAAAGAGGGTGGTGGCAATGTGGGCAGTCTGTCGATTTAAGCCGTCGAGTGCTCCGCAGGTTTCGCTGAGCCATACGAGTGAGTATTTCGAAGGGGACTGCCAAACCAGGCTCAGGTTGGTGTGTGCAATGCAAAGCGGGAGCACGTGAATTGCCAGTGGAAGAACACCCAAAATAGCAAATGATTGACCGACTGTTGGTGACATGGGGTCTGCTCAGAATATACGCATGGCATGGGCAGAGGCTTTCAGTAAAGAACACTTTGAATACTGTATCTTTCACTAAAAAGTGCGGTGAAGTGCCTGGGAATGATAGCAAATTTTGGGCTTTCCTTTTGAAACCTTACAGTGAACAGCGCTCCAACCAACAAGCCAAGGGAGGTTGGAGTGGAATGCTGTCTCAACGGAGGCCAGACATCGCCAACGGCCTCATACTCCAAGCTGCCTGCATCCGAATTGTACATATATGTCTCAAATATCTTACAGCCAATCATGAGGCCTGGCTTTCACCTTTCAATGCACGCCCTTCTTGATGAGCATTGATTGAAAAGAAAAGGATTTCCGATGAGGCCTCACCGTTTGCCGACTCACTGGACTTCAATGCTGGGCCCTTGCACAGCGGTCCGAAATCTGCCAAGTAATCTGCATTTTCATTGAGGTGATAGCTCGGCTTTGCAAGGTCGTCCCTGACTATCTGCTTGGTCAGGAAAATGCAAATGACGGCAGTCGTGTTGAAGAGCAGCAGGCCCAGCCTCAGGAGCTGCCGACCGCGCCGCCGAAGATTAGCCATAATTGGGGGACCAAACGAAACAAAGTTCCTACAGGTGAAGCATGAGCATGCCACCCAGAGGAGAAGCACACGTGTTCGTTATTGACTCGACACCTTGTTGTTGGTCACTTCGCAACGTCGTAGACAGACATCCTCCTCCTTCACACGTCTGCAATTGGAGCTCCGTGTTGCGGTTTGGTGCAGCAGCAATGCATCGAAGAGCTGATCGAGGAAACTTGAAAGTCTGAAGCCTAAGGGGAGCGCAGTGACGACCCAGCTCAGCGATGCGCGCCACGTGGAGAAACATGTACTATCCGGCGGCTGTCAGGACGCCGCTTGTCGAAAGCACATGATTGTGACACATGGCATGTTGTGAGCCAATGACAAAGCCATGTGTTGCCTCCCTGGTTGTGGTGGTTGGATTGGGTTTGGATGTCATTGTGAGAGGCGAGCGCGCAGAGGGGTATAATGGTACTCGATTTCGCTGAATGGGTCGCCTTGATTAGCCATTGGTTGGATCTTCCTTTGGCATTGTCGAAAGGTGCTTTTTCCCGCTTTTCAAGCCTGTTTTGCACCCGACACTGTACAGCGATTTGTCCCTGAGAAAATGGCGCCGACCACTGAGTTGCGCCAGAGGAAGCCCGGCAAAGGCGAGGGCGGCAAAGCAGACCACTCCGACACCCCACCGGAGAAGGAGAAGCCTAAAGACGACAAGAAGCATGCCCACAGGAAGTCGAAAAAGGCGGCCCGTCCCCACTGGGGATGTTACGACGCATTCTGTTGGATGATAGGCAACCTGACCGTGCTGTTTTGCATCCTGTTCATAGTGTCGAAGTTTGTTCCGAGCAAGAAGGCGACGGAGTTTGTGATTGAGAAGATCACGGGGCAGGCTCCGCCTCAGACACCGGGTGAGAAGCTGCGCGCAGAAGGTCTACGGGTAAGTGGTCTGGCAACAACGAAGAAGCAGTGAGTGTGCGTTTGAACATTGACGTTTTGATGGCCGATGTACTATGTGCCGGACTGGAGACCACTGCAGACACGGAGTTTGCTAACGAGAGTAGTCTATGATGGTTCCTTTCTTCCACTGTCGGTCTGCAGTCGTCTGCAAAGGTTCTCCATAAACTTTTTGCTTTGATATTCCTGGAGAATCATTGTTGGCTGCATCCTTTGCGTGTGGACTGTACTTATACGGCGGTGCAAGCAATGGTCTTGCACTTCTCTCTCCCCGACTGGCATCAAATTGCACGTTGTGCAACCACTGTCGCAGGTCTTTAACGTCGTTCAGCCTCTCAAACTAGCACCTTGTCAAGACTGTTAGATCCCTGTCAGCATTGGTTCTGGCAGAGAATGCTTCAATCCTGATGTTTAATCATGGCGTTCATTTGCGCTAGAGCTATCCTGCTGTCCATCCAGACGCTCTAAACCTCATTAAAGCAGGCGTGCTAAACTTTCACCAGAATCGAGCGGGATCTCCTTGCTGCAGTTGAAGCATCCGCTTGTATTTATGCCGGGCGTTGTCACGGGCGGTTTGGAGCTGTGGGAGGGCCGCGAGTGCGCCGAAGATCTCTTCCGGCAGCGCGTATGGGGGGGCGACTTTGCTGACAAAGTCCTGTCCAAGTGAGCGATCCGAAGTATGCTTTTATCAGGACCTAAGTTCAGCTCAGATGCAGACCAGATTCTTACTGTGCTCGAAGGCCAACTTTGCTTCATTTCCCAGCCCCCTTTCCTGCCTTTCTGTTGGGGTCCGCTTCTCACCAGCGTATGGTGCATATCGCCAATCTTTCGACAGCGCTCACTGAATCCTGACCTGGCCGGTAGATGTCTTTCCAGATGAGGGATCCTGTTGGTTCTTTGGGTCCGCTTCTCTATACTTCTGTAGATGGTACATAGAGTGTCTCCAATCAGTTGCGTTGCAAGGTGCAAGCACTTGAGCTACTGAGTTGCGGTATCGATGGCTTCCCGTTCGAGTTCAACTCATGTATATCTGTTGATCTGACCCAAAAGGGGCAGCTTTCTGACAGTATACTTCAAGCGAAGGACGGAGTGAGATGCTCAAGATTGCGCATCTTCTTCTCAGGCCTTCATACTTGTGCTCGTTGCATTCAGATAGGGGATCATGGCGCAATCGAAGTTGTGAAAGCAACCCCTTGAGAGCATTTACGAGTCTTCCCTACCCGAGTCCCTTGAGCGCCAAGAATGCTGACGTCACAACTCCCTTTCCCCTCAGGCCGCACTGTTGGATGGACCACTTGATCCTGGACAACGAGACCGGCCTCGACCCCCCCAACGTGCGCGTGCGCTCCGTCCCGGGTCTAGTTGCGGCCGACTTCTTCATGCCCGGATACTTTGTGTGGGCCCCAATAATTGAGAACGCGGCCCGGCTGGGGTACGACCACAAGAGCATGTGGATGGCGGACTATGACTGGCGGCTCTCGTATGGCAAGGCCGAGGTGGGTTTTTGCGACCATCTGCGTGGGAGATCTGTTCACTTTGTGGCTCTGCTTTGATGTCCGTTTGTATTGGTAAGAAGAATCTGACAAGGCGGGGTAGGAGCTCAAGAGCATGTGGATGGCGGATTTTGGCTGGCGGCTCTTGTATGGCAAGGCAGAGGTGGGTCTTGGGACCATCTGCGTGGGAGGTCTAATCACTTTGTGTATGTCTTTTTGTTTTGGTAAGAAGAATCTGAGAAGGCGGGGTAGCAGCGGAAGAGCATTGCGGATTTTGGCTGGCGGCTCTTGTTCGCAAAAGGGCGAGGTGGTTTGTCCATCCCGTGTCCGTAAGATATTGATCTATATCAATGCTTGGTCTCGATTTGACAAAAAATGAGGAGGTCGTGCTGCGTTGATCCTGTACAGGTAAAAGCATGTGATAGCAAACCATGACTTGCGGCTTTCAATTTCGCGCAGCGTAGGTGGATTCTGAACCTCGTTTCTGTAAAAGTTCCATATATGACGCGAATGCTTCCTAGTCCGGCCGACCCGTGGGGCCACCAGAGCTTCTGGCCTGAGGCCGTCCTTAGCTGGAAGGCCACGTGGAGTACTTTGATCGAAGAAAAGGATCTATAGCAGGTCGATGGAGCTTGTTGTAGCCTTCTGCCTCGCAAGTCCGTTCGCTGAAGCTGAGGGGGGAAAGTACAATTTACTTTGCTTGCGGGAGCACGACGGCCCGTGTCGTGCCCTAATATGGTAAAATGAGCTCACGGCTGATGTGTTTATGATATGGGGTGTCCTTGTGGACAACTGATTGCAGGCTCAGGGTTAAGCACGATTGAGCCCGTTTCCCTCGTGTGGCGGAATCTGGGTGGTGCATCGAAGAATCTCAAGATATTACCACCAGCCCAAATAATGGCGATCGTTTCCGCAGCCAAAAGCCCGACTCAAATACCTCTCAACCTCACAAGAGACAAGACCATTGTCTAACGCTCGCGTTGAGCAGAAGTGTGATGGCACACGGACCCTGATTAAAATAAAATTCCCTCCGATGTTTCTTTCAAATGGTACAGTATAGGATCAGGATCTTTTTTAAGTCTTTAAAAGAATACATTGAAAAAAAAGGGCTAAAGATGGACATCAACGATCCCGTTTCTATCCAAAAGGAAAACCCGCCCACTCTTGCAACCTGGGGACAACTTGCCATTGTGAATTGGCAGTACGAGTCACTCGAGTTTGGACGACTCCGGACCCCTGACAACGTCCGTTGCTCTTGCTTGCAGAAGCGCGACGGCACGCTGACGCGGCTCAAGATGGTGATTGAGACCACGAAAAAGATGAACGATGACGAGAAGGTGGTTCTGGTGCCGCACAGCATGGGCTGCATATTGACAATGTACTTCCTCAAGTGGGTCGAGGCGCCCGCGCCCCACGGTGCGTTATATTCCTCCCGCGCCTAGTTCCTCGTATGTTCATTTTCCGTTCCCTTGATGATACGTTTGTTTAGAAGAGAAAGCGCAGCTCAAGGTATATCTCAGATAAAGCTCTTGTTCAAACAATGAACAATGAAAAGCGGAAATGCGAGTCCGCCGACTGAAATTTCCGAGCCCTGCGAGGCTGGAGAAGAAGGTGGTGTGGATGAATCCAAGATAGCTGCGCTGAAAGTATTGGTATTGACGACGCTTCGTAAGGAGTCGCATCTCCGCCGTTCACTGAGCAGTGCACACGTTCGTGACTCTGGTCTCTGTCTTCCTTCACCCTCTTCGCTATCACCCTTCTCTTCGAGCCCCCACGACTTGCGGTCAGCCATGGTAACTTGTGACTCATTCTGACGTCGCAACACCTCACGAATTTTCCTCATTTGGAGCAGGCGGCGGCGGCGGCCCCCACTGGGTGAATGACCACATCCACGCAGTTGCAGGAATTGCGGGGCCGTGGCTCGGCGTGGCTAAGGGGGTCACCGGGCTGATTTCGGCTGAGGCGAAGGACGTGGCGGAACTCAGGTGAGCGGCGCGCATTGTGACATAAGCTTCAACCATATGTTGAGGTAGGCCTATGCTGAGTTCGACAACATCCCGGCTCAAACAAACTGAAATGCTAGTTCTAAACTTGACTTGCTCCGCACGCGCACCCACCTTAAACTCCCAAAGCAACCCCTGCTCGTCTCCATGGCATTGCCTAAGTCAACATAGCCGTAGCTCAACCTGGAATCAAGTGCACTGGTGCGACCGTCACGAATTGCTTCTTTGCAAAGTTGGTCGACTCTTTTCTCGAATCTTTTAAGGCTCCCCTACCCCTGCCTCGGCAAAGCCAGGCTGTTTCGTCGAAGTAAAGAGGCGCCTGACGTAGCGCTAGCTCAGGTCGCTGAGAGGACCGTTCTCCATCTCCCTTATAGTCTGCCTTCTCAACATCTCTTCCCTTCTATTTTGCAAGGCCATGGGACCCTTTATCGTCAACACTAGGGCTTGGGGCTGGCCGACGAGTGGAAAGAGGACCACTTTCCACCCGCCTGAAAAACCGCCATCGTAGAACGCTTTTTCTTTCATGATGCAGGGCGATGGATCCGTTCATCGACAGCGGTGCGTGGGGGCCCACTAATGATCTAAAGTCGACCGCTTTGAAAGTGCGTCAGTTCAGCGCACCCCACAGCGCTTTTGCAGGCAGATGGCCCCATTCATCAGAAGCGGCACGTGGGGAACACTAACGAATGAAAAAAGGGACCGCTTTCACACCCCCCCAAACCATTGTCTTTGTAGAGTGCCCATATTCTTGATGTCTCCAAAAGACCTAGTTTCTGAAACGCCCGTTCTTTCCATTTCGGCAGTGCGATGGCCCCCTTCATCGACAGCGGCGCGTGGGGCACACTGATGATACAAAGACGTCCACTGGGAACACCATAACTTCCGGACCACCCCTTTCTTCTGCAAATCTCAAGTTTCACCCCCCCTCTCCTTTTTTTCCAGGGCGATGGCCCCCTTCATCGACAGTGGCGCGTGGGGCACGCGCGCGTTCCAGCACGTGCTGCGCGTCAGTCGCACGTGGGAATCTCTCACGAGCATGCTCCCGAAGGGGGGTAACGCAGTCTGGGGCGACGTGGACTGGTCCCCTGAGGAGGGCTACGAATGTTGCCCCCCGAAAAAAGAAGAGGACGGCGAATTTAAGGATAAGGACGTCGGGCCGTCCGGCAAGCCGGTGGCGCACTACGGGCGGTTCCTGTCGTTTGGACGGGAGCTGGCGGAGCTGGAGAAGGGGAAGGTCGCGGAGCGGGTTGAGAAGGTGACTTAATGGCTGGGTTTGGGCGTGGGTTTAGATCCGATTTTGGGTTTGGATTTGATTTTGGCTTTGGCTTTGGCTCTGGTTCTGAGTTTAGGTTCCGGTTTTAAGCTGGGTCTGGGTTGGATCTAGGTGTGGCTTCGGCTTTGGCTTTTGCTTTCTTCCGCCTTCGGCTTTGGTTCTGGGTTCAGCTTCGGGTATGGGTTTTGATTTAGGTTTGAGTTCAGGTTCCGCTTTGCGTCGGTGTTTGAATCTAGATTGCTCTGCCTCTGGTGACTGCTTGCGATGCTGAACCGGACCTTTGGCTTGGTGCGTGACCAGATTACCCGTTCCAATCTGGCTGCAAACCTGCCCGTCCGTGCAGTAGTCGCACCTGAAAATGCTACATTTGGTTTCTTCTGCACCTTCGTTACGCGGATGTATGATTAAGATCCATAAGGCTTCCCCAAAATGATAACTCCTAGAACCTGGCCTGAGGGTAAGCATGAGCTTCGACTTTCCAGAGTCAACGAACTCGATCCTGGCATAAGTGAACGTATGCCCTGGACTATTGTGCATTTCACCCGGACCAGCCGCACCTTCAGATGGGAATCTTCATTTCTCATGCAACACATAGAACAGCACATCCGAATACTCGACGGTTGTGCAATCGAAGATAGAGGCGCTCTTATTTCTCGAGACAGAGTCTTTGTCAATTGAGGTATGATCAAATCCAACTTGCAAAAGGACACAGCCCTGCATGTTACAACAGCTGTGTACTTGAGGACTGGAATCCGGTCCTTATGGATCAGAACGTTTGGCCAGATGTTGTCTGGCATCCAGATTTGGCAGGATTTAAATCAATTGAATGGTCCTGTGCAGATGATGAAGGAGCCGCTGCTGTTCGTGAACCAGACGTACTGCCAGAGTGACGTGTGGACCGAGTACCAGCAGCTGAGCACCGACAAGATGCAGGCAAGCGCTTGAGCCCACTCAACTGAATCTTTGTGTTTCCTGAACCGAAGACACTGAAGTGAAAGGTACCTTCGTAATGGTCGACGGAAGGATTGTTGGTGGAAACTTGGTCCTTGCAGAACACCCCTCTGTTGCCAGGGGCCAGTCGACTTTGTCTTCCGTGATCGGTGGGTTGTAAGAAGGACGATTGGACAAGCGAGATCAAAGTAAGAACGAGGTAGCTCGTAGTCCAAGGCCGGGTTCTTCGTCGGTTGGTCAGTCCAGCATCGATGAAGATACTACCGTTTCGTCAAAGCTTTCTTTGCTTTGTGCCCCCCTAAAAGATTGCGTTGGACGACTTGGATGGACATTTGTAAAGCCTCTTCATGAAAAACACGCATACAATCGTCGAACTCTTTTTCGCTATGCAAAGCCGGAAGGAGCTTGCGCGGTGCAGCGTGTTCGTCTATGTATGCACCTTGCTTGCGGCGACCAGGATCGATCATCCCAGACTTTAGATTGAGCAAGCACACGACACCATTGCCAGACTCTGCTTTGCGTGCCTACAGGATCTTGTGCGCTCGCAGTGTGTACAACATTATGCATCTCGTGCTTCGGGCTACCGGTACCGGAAATTTGAAATAGCTCAATAATGAATAGGGATACGACCTCGCTAAAGCAAAGGTTTAGCGTTTAGAAAAGCAAGGTTTTCAGGCTTTTAACTTTTTGTTCTGCGACCCACAGGAGATTGGGCGCCAGGGCTGTGCAACGTTATGCTCGTGTCTGAGGCTATTGCGATTGACAACTCAGAAGCTCGACACTAATCGAGGATTCTGACTCCGTCGTCGGTTTTTTTGGGGGATTCCGGGGTTTTCAAGGCTTTAGAATTCTGACTTTGCTCTGCGTGCCCACAGGAGATTGCACGCCGCGGCGTGTACAACATCGAGCAAGCGCTGGACATGCTGCGCGAGATCGCGCCCAGTTTGATGAAGCGTGCGGACGAGAACTGGGGCTTCGGCGTCGCGGACAACCCGTCGGCGCCCGAGTATGCGGACAACCCCAAGTACTGGAGCAACCCGCTGGAGACCACGTGAGAGGACGAATTTGTTGCACTCTTTGGCTAGCATTTTTTCTGGCTTCAATGTAGCGAAGCTTCGTTCAGAACAGGGTACATCGTGCTGCATTTGGGTAGCGAGTCGTGTTTGATTTGATAGACAGCAGAGCGAATTAGCAGCTTGACGAAAATGGGTCAGTCCTGTCTGGTCAGAGTTGCAACCGTTCAGCAGACTGCCATGAAAAGGCCGTAGTACACCTTTTGACTTTTCTATTACCGCATTATTGCATTCCGTGGATCATACCGCAGACCAAAAAGTGAACGTCAAAGAGCACCGATTACGGATCCGGAGCGTGCCTGCTTGCCCTTCGTAACTTCGCTCGCAATCTCATTTAAATGTCAACTTATGTGACTCGGCCCCCCGGTCGTCATTACCTACCCACCACTCAATGGTGTGAATACCCCCTGCAGGCTGCCGTTCGCCCCGGACATGACCCTGTACTGCCTCCAGGGGGTGGGCATTCACACCGAGCGGTCGTACATTATGAAACTGTCGGACCTGAACGAGAGCTGCGCGCTGCCGTTCCGGATCGACGGCACCGTCTCCGGCAAAAACGAGGGCTGCCTCAAGAGCGGCGCACAGGTCAGTGCGTGGAGGCTGACTGACTGCGAATAGATAGTGCCGAGTTTGCGGGTTGCAATTAACTAAGGGTTTGGGTGCCGGATTTAGGTCGTTTTGGGGCTCCGAAATTTGTCAGGTTTTAACTTGTGGGTTAAAGAGAGTTTGGCTGCCTGAAAATGGCGCGTAAGTCTGCCTGTGAAGGCTGTTTGCAAGGTTCGGAGTACTTCAGTGCACGCGGGTTGGATGGACTACGGGACTCGGGTACCGAATCAGGCGGGTCGGAGGGCTTTAACTTTTGGATATGGTCGAGATTTCGAATGGCGCACAGCTCAGTGCGTGGAGGCTTCGCTGCATCCTTTGAAGTATTTACGTATGCAAAATGTGTTGGCTTGAGGGTTTGAAGTTCTGGGCTGCGGCGTTCTGGAAGCTTTTGAAAGTGCCCCAAACTTTTTGATTCAGTCATTTTTGGGTTGTCTCAAGCCGTGCGGAAATGAATTCATGCAAATGCATGAGAGATTTGGTGGTCTGACTGACAATTGCTGCGCTTCAAAGATTTCTGGATGCTAACGTGGGCTTTCAAGCGCAGGTCAGATCTGCGCTGTTATTGGAGCTGAATGCGTTGTGATCTGTTGCGTGGACTATGTGCCTGCGCGTGAACGCGGTGCGTAAAGAATAGAACAGCAGCCCTTAGGACCATCGGAAACGCAATGCTGATTGGAACTCTCCCCTCGATACAAACTCAAACAGAGATGCAGCCGCTGACGTCATTTTGCTTGTTCCAGTTTTCGGACGGTGACATCACGATCAACTTGGTGAGCGCGGGCTACATGGCGGCGAAGGGCTGGAAGGGGCGCACCAAGTACAATCCCGGGGGGGTCAAGGCAGTCATGCGTGAGTATAAGCACGTGGCCCCCGCAAACTTTCTGGAGGGCCGGGGGACGCAGAGCGGGAACCACGTGGACGTCATGGGTAATTATGCAATGATTGAGGACATTTTGCGGATTGCCGCGGGCCAGACGGCGGAGCAACTAGGAGGGGATCGGTATTACTCTAAGCTGCCGGAGTGGGCGGAGAGAGTGAAGATTGATGTCAAGTTGAAGCAGACGAGTTCATTTGCGCAGAAGCTGGGGATAAAGTCCTGACATTATTGCTAGGAAGGTTAGGATTGGGTTTTGTTTGCCAGCCGGTTGCTGAGATATGACAGTCACCTTAAACATTTGCCTAGGAGTCTAATAAATATTGATGGTCCTGATATGAGTGGTTGAATTTAAACTGGTGCGCTGCAGCGGCATGTATAGATTACTGCGACGCGATCTGCCTCAATCTGGAGCTAGGCGCAGCATGTTGCTAGCGGGCGCGATTGTGTGCATGAGCTGGCACATGCCCTATGTAGGAGAATTGAGGGTGGCACGGGAAACAAAATCGGATATGCATGTCCCTCTAAGGCCCTCGCCGGGTGCAGTGATGTATAAATGCCATGGAGGCGATTGCTTGGTCTGATGAAGCGTACGTTCCGCAGTAGTGACCTTCCCGTGCCATGGCAGTTCCTTTAGGCTGGTAGTTTTATAGCGCCTCGATCGATCGAAAGACATTTACACATACGGGAACTTTGTCGATCGGCAAGGCGGCACGGTCGCAAGACCGCGGGTTCCCTAAGTAGAGCTCAGTGCATGCAGCCGTTCACAAGATTGATGCACCTAGAAACACGAGCTGCAGCTAGTGTACAGACATGTGCAAAATCATTCAGATTAACTTGGCGGCCGTCTTGACAACACATTCTCACCAATAAACCACGGTTACAATGTTCTCTAATGGAAACTTAGCTTCCTCAACTAGTCAAAGCTCTCAATCGCGTCAAAATTGTTTGCCGGCGCACTATACTTGGGGACGTATGTACGGGCCTGTTTCCGACCAGCTCGTTTTACGTCCTCTACAATCATTGCACAGCCCTTGGTATCTACAACCTACATTTCAGTGCGGGGGCTAGTTGATCTTTGTGACGGTTATCCAGCAGGCCGTCTACCGTAGACTAGTAGTATGTACTATGATTTCGGAAACCTCTACTGTGCTTGAGTGATGGATGGCGTTTTATGTGTTCTCAACGTATAGCACTCCAAAGATATCGTACACTCACAGCATGCGGTGAAAGATGCAGAACAGGCTATATTCTGTCTAAAGTACGGCTTCGCATGCTGAGACGTCCCGCTTACTTATTCTAGAAACCTTGCTAGGGCGACCCAGACCCTTTTGTAAAAGCACTCAGCAAACAACAGATGGCTGTGACTAAATTTGCGCCTCAGCGCATGCGACCAGGTCAAAGCTGTTGATCTCATCAAACTGGGCGTCAGGATCGTCCCCGAAGTGCGCCACGCCCCGAGCACCGTAATACCGCCCGATCCCACCCGTGATGATGTTCGGGTAGTTTATTTTCTGGTCATCGTAAACCGGACCTTGCGTGGCAATCATGCTCTTGTCATTGAAGACAAAGGTTTGGTAGCACTCAAATTCGGGTTTGTGGTCAGATCCGGCGCCCGCGAGAACTGTCCGGATGCAGTGGCCTTGGACGTATCCGACCACCGTCGTGCGGTCCTCGTAATCGTACAGATTGTTGTTGAAGACCTGAGAGAGAAGAAGAGCCAGACGTTTTCAGATTCAAACCATGCGTCACCTCTGATTGTCGTTACATTTGATGGTTGTAAGGCAAGAGCTCTTACGGTCACTCTGTTTGGCTCGCTCTGTCAAATGATCATGAGGTCACTGTAAAGCTCCTAAAGCTCGTCTAGCACGATCTCTGGCAGAAAATGTTTCACCAAAGAACCAGGATCGTCTAGGCTTTGTTTGAAGTCAGATTGACAAAGCTTGTCGCAAGACCCTCATGATCCAATTGGCTGTGGCGCTGGCAAGTCAAGGAAACATCTCAGTTTACACAGAGCTGTCAAGCTGACTCATCTGAACCCACTCGTTAGAGCATGTCCAGAGTGCATCAAGATATGTGTAACTTTCTCCATCCCCTGACAAACAGTGATTATATTGGCGGCCTTTCTATGCAGAAATAGTTCAAGAGCTGTTAATTGTTTTATAGGAACAGATTGGAGATTCACCGGAGTACTGATGGGGACACAGACAATGGCTGACAATCTGAGACAAAGGGGCCCCTCTTACAGCCTTTCTCCACATTGAGGACATCGAACCAGGTGGCCTCTGGGCTGGCTTCAACACCCTCTGAAGGAGCTTCAGAGCAGGACCAATCAAAGCAACAATCTTCAGCATTAGCGTAATTGGAGAAGAATCAACTCTCACAAATAACCATCGCCCAGCAAAGCTCTCACTGCCTCCAATCCTTGGGACATCAGAGCAAGCTTTCAGTGGGTTGGCGTCAGAGGTTCCAAAAAGGGGGAAGCTGAGTCCCGGCATTGTACCCCTTTTCTTGCTTCCTTTTCTTTTCTTGTCTCCAAATGCAACCGGGAATCCGAGCTTGAGCTGTACCAGACCATCAATATCAACCACCAACTCAGAGTCATTGTTGACAATCAACATCTCAGACGCAAACAAGACGCAATCCCGTAGAGAAGAGTGACGTGCCAGCTCATCTCCGACAGCTTCCTCCCCCGACGGCATCACGTGGATCCCCGGGTCAGGGAAGGCGCTGTGACGGGGCCCCGGGCCGGGCTTGGAGAAGTTGGTCCACACATGGAAGGAGTGCGACTCGCACACCCACGGAAGCTTGTTGGCGGCCGCTGACGTCAGCAGCAGCAGCAATGAGCTGACTAGGACTGCAAGGAGAATGCGGGCCATGATGATGACTGGGCCGCTATGCTTCAGATGCTTGGCCCCTGAGAAAGACTCTCAAAAGGTAATTGCTTTGGGCTTTGCTAGTGAGAAGCTTCAAGAACTCAGTGGTGCATAGCGGAAACTCACCGCCAGCTGGACGAGAGGGAAAATGCGGCTCTGGATTGAAAAGCAATTCAACGCTAGACCTGCATGCAGAGCTACAGCTACAAAGCACAATTGGCGCCCTTTTACTACCTAGCTTTCAATTGCATGGGGACCTGCAGCGCATCTGATCCCCGTGTGAGTAGTACTAGAAGCCCCCCATCAAGAATCTGCTCTCGTGTGCTGGCAACAGGTCATCTCCTACCTACCTACCTACCTATGCGTGACCCTCTCCTGCTAGCAAGCTTGGGCTGCGATAGATACCGTACACCGTGTCGCCCGGTCGCCGGGCCGGCAAATAAAACGCATAAGCTATGAGCAGGACGGGGATCCCCCGGCAGCGTCGGACCAACAGGTTACGAGACAGGGGGTTCAAGACAGGGATGCGGTAGCCCCCCAAATGTTTTTCAACGAAAACGTAAACATGTGTGACCGTGATTGGAGTAAATACGCAATGATCGAGCCGAGAACCTGATTCCTAAATCCGAACACTGCAAGCCTGGGAAAGAATGGGACCAGAGGCTCTGTGATTATTATTAGGGTATCCTGCCGTAACCCAATTTAAGGTTCACGCAGAACGTACCGCTACGTATACTATACGTGCCAGACGGTTGCGATCTGAGATTAAGCGATGTCCTTATTAGTTCTGTTGCTAGGCATGCATAGCTGACGTCGATATATGTGGGCTACGATTGCTGCATAGCTAATGTCAATATGTGTGAACTAGCTAAATTCGATGAGTCCAATACTGGATCTCAGAGGTTGGATCTTCTGATTGTATGATAATGCCGTAGCAAAGTTCGTCTTCTTTAAAGCGCCTGCATGAGAACCGGGCATGACATGCTCGAACACCCAGAGAGTATAATGTAGCGCAAATCGTCAAAGCTGGCATGAGAACCGTGACATGCTTAAACACCCGTTCATCTCTGCATGCTGTTCACTTCGATTCACGAGCCTTGACTACACGTGTCAGGTTGCTCTTTTAGTCCAAACAGTTCCGGTAAGCTCGTAAGTGAATCAAAGCAGAAACAAACCGTGCCTGTCTCTCATGACGATGTTATAGTGCGCAGTTAGGCTATCACTACTGCAAGCCTTGCAACTTCACATCGCCCAATAAATTACGGATTCTCCTATACTTATGACTCCTGAGCTATTTCGATTCTGCAATGCCAGCAAAGTGCAAACAAAGCCTTTGATCTCGTCGGTCTCCCCAGCCCCCATAGCCTGTGTAATTGCACGGTGTAAAATCCTGCTGTCTAATCTCAATGCCCCAATCTGGGGACGGTGGTGGGCGGTCCATCTGCTCTAAAGCGAACGTAATCTTCTCGCTTTCTAAGGCACAGGCTTCGGAGTCCACATTAAGGCCCCGGTTCTCGTGCAGCCCGCACCTGCCCGCATGGATTACACTCGCGCCTGCACAAGCATCGGCCGTTTTCAGCTCAAATGGTGTTCAGGAATGAAAAGCTAAGGCGACAAGACGGGTTGAGGTTCCTGAAGTGACGAGGGGGGTGCGGGCACAACCGCAATAAATGTCGAGACCAGACTAGCGGTAACTAGTTGCGGTCTTAGGGAGCACGCAGAGATTGTCACTCGCAATCTGGCAGTATCGAGAGCGCAGGTATTCGCCACGACTTCCCCTAAGATCAGCTTGGCACGAAGTCTAGCGACTCCGTCCCTTAACCCCCAGCTGAAACGGTACGAGTGATCAACGTGAACGAAAAAGGTGTTCATACAAGAGGAGGACAAGTTCGATGCAGCAGGGCTACGGCTTACATATTCACTCCACTGGAAAGAAGCCTCTCCCTACAGGCTTCCCCCTCTCACCTGCCGCGTGCAGGCTCAGCGTCCCCGGCGCCCAACTCGCCATCACCGCACATTCAAGCGTCCAGTCCCACCCATAGTCATCAAACCCACAGAACTTGCGGGCTTGCGCCTTTATCCTCCGCCAAACCGTGCGGTTAAATGCGTAACCCATATTCGACATCCGGTCAGCGACGAAGTGCTCTCCGCCTAGCACGCCCGGCGAATGGGCCCGGTGGCCGGTGCTCAGGCTGACTGCGACGCAGTCCGGGCAGCGCGCGTTCTTCACGGCAATCAGGACCTGATCGGAACGGAACCAGAACGGAATCAGCACCAGGACAGAACGGAAATGTGGACGGATGCAGATGAAAACAGCGAGCGTGATCTCCAAGGCGACGAGGAGGTGGGGGGTTCAGAATTTAACCGTGTGAGGGGAAGAAGTACTGAGACACTGAGCGGACGGAACCGTAAGGGACATGAAGGGAGCGGGAAAAATGGAAAATGAATGATGCGATTAGAGAAATGGAAGCCAGGAACCGAGCGGGAGCGAGCGGGCAGAAAGTCTGGGCAATGATTACGCTTCAAGTCGATAAAAACCACAATCAGAAGATTGAAATCGTTTGGAGGGAGGGGGGCCTATAGGGGCGGACACCAGGGTTGGAACTTCGAAACGGAGCTGGACCAGAACAAAGTCACTTAGAATCTTAGAAAGGGGGAGAAAAGTAACTGGAGGCATATAGGCAACAAGACCAGTGCTTCTCTCGCTGGAAAGGAATTCAAAATTCACCAGAATGCAGCCGCAACAAAGCTGAATGAACTGAACGGACGACTTTGATGAACGGGTCGAGTGACAGGAATGAACGGAACAATGAGATGAATGGGAGACTTGGGCACGAAACAACGGAACGAAATAGTCTGAGCTCACAAGCCCGGAGCTTTGCAACGGTAATCAGATGTGGAAGTCAAGATCAAAATGCAGAAAAGTTGCGGGACCAAGCGGAAAGTAAGGACGAATACGGAATGAAGAGTCCGTGATTGACAATCATCAACAAGTGATTCGTTGATGAATCAGGAACCGTGGATGAAACGAAAAGGCGAAGGGAAGAAAAGCGGATGGCAGCAGAGGAAAGGAGCGGAAGGTCTAGGAGGGAATGCGGTCCGAGCACAGTCGGACCTGAGCGGAAGAACGGAATCAAGGCGGAATGCCGGACGAGTGCGTACACGTGCAGGAGAGCGGCCCCTTACCTGGAGTGTACGATAAGCGTTGGGAACCACTAAGTGGTCCTCTTCAAGGAAACATATGTGGCCGTCAAAGTTTTGGAACTCCTCCATCTCGTCCCACACTTGGTTCATCAACCAGAACCAGTGGTGCTGCGGAATAGGAATGAAAGCTTTCAGTAAGCGAAGGAAAGAATAGCAGAGTCCGAATTTGCTCTAATATATCAGGTCAGACGACCTGACGCGATCCCGAATGCTTGTAAGCGACTTCGGGATTCGCCACGAAAGAACGACAGAGTGTTCCTGGTGCATCTTAGGGTGTGCATCGAAAGAGAGACGGCTTTTCGAAGCTGGTAACTGGAGAGATTCGGTCTCACTTCGACTACTTGTAGGCAGATGCTCTATCCTCAACAACATTCACAATTCAACAGTTTACCTCTTACGACACACAATTTCAATGACCAGTTTTTCAGAGTCACTTTCAAGGCGAGCTAGCCCTCCCTGCCTAGTACGCATCCAAAAGACGCATCCAAAGATAAGTATCAGCCGACGTGGCAGATCCTGATTAGGCCAGTCAATTCTCACTGAACGACACGATTAATGCAGATCTTGATTGGGTCAGTCAATGCGCGCTGAACAACAGAATCAACGCTTTGCTCTACTGTAAGAGGCATCAACGACCGAAGAGGGTTTATGCCTCACTTTCAGGCCCACGAAGAAGGGGTTTCGAAAGTTGTCGTACTGGTCTGAATCCCCCGTGCAACCATCTGGCGCTGGTGTTATTGGAGATGGGGTTCCGGGGCAATCATCGGGGGAGCGGCTGGGAAAGCTGTTTTTTGAAGTTGTGCGGTGAGAACGGAGCAAAGATCTGGGGAAGAACGGGCGTTTGCTGAAGTAAAGATCGCAAACTTATGAGCCATGTCAAGCATTGAGCAACAGATTATAGTTTGAGGATAGAGCGAATCAAGGTCTGTTGCTAAGACTCTTGATACATCTGCTGATATGCTTACACAGCACCCACATTGGTCAATTGGTCCCACAACAGTTGTTGCTAAGGCGTTCAAAGAACGTTGCAGCATGAGCTGTCCACAGTAAGTCAGCCTCTGACATAGAATCATGGCAACCCAGGCTGTGAGATTGACTCAAGTGGTGGCAAACCAACGAAGCGTTCCAGTGGATCACTGATCAGACTGTCCAGCGTACACTGGGGCAACAATTCAGCTGAAAAAGTAAGGCGAATCCCGCGGTTGAAGCTCTTGCTCCAACGAGGAAACGAAGGATCTGGACCTCTTCCTTTTCAGTTGGTAGATTCCTGACAGAACTACTTTTATCATCATTAACAGCAAGCCAGTTGATGCTTCTGAACCTACTCCAGGAAAGAAGCAGTAAAACTTACCTGCTTAATCCTCATGAAGGTGAACTCACGAACCACCGCCACCACTTCTGGAAAGTATCCGTCATGGCTCACAATCAGAAGACTCTCCGCGATTCCGTCAACTCGCGACAGCCTGGTTAGCACTTCCCTTAAGTACGCCGGCCGGTTATGGACATAAACGACGATAGGTACAGTTGTTGGCGTGATGCTTGCTCTGACAGTAGCGTTGCTGTTGCGCCAAAGGCCTCTTCTGTTGAAGTCCAACATCTGGCGTGAGAGTTTGTTGGAGGGAGGCCATCCTTGGCCTGGTGACGGGGGCGAGAAATCATCTGGATTGGGGGGGGGAGTCGTGTCACTACTGGGGTAATCTGGATCATCTAGAGAGACGTTCTGAAATTCAGAGTGAGAATACACACTGGTGAGAAGTGCTTCTGTACTACTTGCATCATCTGGAAGGGCGCCTTTGAAACTTACTTCTTTAAGAGTGCTAATTCCTAGTAACTCATCAGATCTGGGCTTGACACAGGAGCCCCCCAACTTGACTGGAACCATCCTATGCCAGGACTAGCTGGCCCTTGGACCGCGCCAAGGTTTGCCAGAATCATGAGGGTGGCGACAGCAATTGCTGGAAGCACCCAGCGCTTCTGGCCCCACTTCCTTGAAGCATTGGCGTCGATTTGCTCCTGGTTTTCCACATCCATGCTGGCTCGCCGGCATGATCACTTTGGTGCAACAGGGCTGATCCGTGCCGTGCTTCAGAGACTCAAAGGCTGTGATCCGCTATGTGGAACATCGTCTTCTCTTACTGTTCATGGAACTAAAGAGGAGCTTTCATTGATGCAGACTTGTTTCTAACATAAACCTGTCAGCGCCTTGATTGTGGTATCACTCCAGCTCTTGCCCTGGACGCTCATCTGAGAAATGCTACAATCTGGTTGTCTTGCTCCAAGGCTGCATTTGCAAATGCGAAGGCATACTTGTCTGTTGCAGTAAGGTGATGCAATTCAGACCGCCTCACACAACCTGTGATGTGAGCACCAAACGTACACGTTTTCAATGACAGGCAAATCCTTCCGCCAGCTCAAATGCCACAAACTCAGTGCGCACAATCCTCCTTTGCAGATCAACATTGGCAAGCCTGCAAACTTCAATGCTGCACAGCTGTTGGCTCAGCAAGACCAGCCATTGCTGCAACAGCAGCAGAATGTTCATCATCACGTTCTGCTTGCAAACAACGTGCTCTAGAGCTGGAATATTATCCACTTGGATTCAGAACATGCTCAGAAAATTACGTAAGTTGAACAGTGATTTCGGAATCAAAGCGGCACCGGGAGGTTTAGGGTTTTGTTTTAGGGTTCCATTGCATGTGAGAGCTGGGCTAGCTGAGCCAAGTACTAAAACCCCCCTAGCCTGGGCAGGGAGTCGGAGCTGTTGCACAAGGGAGCGGTCTGTTGGAGCTGTTGCTATTGCCTGGAATTGAACGCTTGATCGTTACAAAATGCTGTAGGTGAGGATCCGTAGATAAATCCGTCCATCACATGTACACTTTTTCTTTGCCCTCTGGGCTATACCGAAAGAAACCATCTACCGAAAGAAACCATTTGCTAGACGATCAATTTTCTGGACAGGGTCCAGCTAGCATACCAAGCAAGCCGGCTGATCAGTGCTCCTGTAGGCACTGCGTCTCTTGACAGGTAGACCACCTTTTGCAGGGACTTCACACAAGGGGGGGCAACATCTCTGTTTGAAAATTTGTGACCTGCCGCAGTCATTTGTTCAGTGCTCGCATGTTCGTTTCTGTAGCAGACTACATGAGACGGTGAGCGGAGGTTGGTTAGAGCAACGTAGTCAGACTCAGGGGTAAGGACAATCTTCAGGAGCTTTGCAACATCTTTGTTGCATGCCGAAGGCCCACTTCGCCCAGCTTGCTCTGACAGATGGCAAACCCGGCTGAATCTGAGGTTCCGGAAACCAGTCACAGCGCTCCAGGTGGCGCCGCAGCGGCCATGGAGCTGATCGCTGAGCTGGAGGAGCGGCTGGAGAAGGCGCAGGCAGAAAAGGAGCGTCTGCAGAGGGACGTTGATGAGCTGTGCAAGCAGCAGGTGGGGCAGGGGCTTCTGGGGGTGGCCTTTGGGTCTTCGGAGGCCGTCGCAAGGTATGCGAATGCTTGTAATCTGTTTGTTGAAAATGGCATTCTGTCGCCCCGCTGCTCTTTGTGGAAAGCGGGGGGTGACGTTTCGCAGTGCTGAACATGTGAATTGGTGCCAGACGCATGATTTGACAGCATAATATACTGCCTGTGTCTCTCTCCTGAAATACGGGTGGGCTGGCGCCCCTGCGAAACCCCCCCCACTCTCTGGTTGCAGCCCGTGTGTCAGTACTTGAGGCAGAGAGGTTGTTGCGAATTTCGCTGCCGTATGATTTTTTGAAGAAGGAGGTTTTTCTACCTTCAACCTTTCCAGTCGAATGGCTTGACCAAAGCGAAGGAACCTCTTACATACTTAGAATAATTGGGCAGGTCACCCAGATTGTTTTAAGATTCCAAATCTCTAACAGTCCGCCCACTTGTCCTGGGGCCTTGGGAGATATTTCACCCGTTCCAAATGGTGGGCGAGTAAGAAAGCTGTCACTTAGTTTGAATGCTAAATGGTTCCTCGACATTCAGCCGGACAATTGTTCAAGCCCAGTGCTTCAGCATCTCGGCCTTTCAAACTACAATTCACTGCCAATATGACTCTTCACAAAGTGCCCCTTCCTGAGTTGCAACATTTTCGCTCGCCCCTTCGGCAAGAATTTTTATGTTCTTCCCTCATGCTCAACTTTCCTTCTTCTTACTCACTTCAGTCTACCGTTTTCGTGTAGGATACACGCCCGGAGGGTGAGTGGCTTGGAGGATCAGATACGCGGTTGGAAGGCCCAGAACCAGGAATTGACCAAGCAAGCCGCTGAGATGCAAGTGAGGGGTTTGATTGTCGCTGACCCGGTTACACATCTTACTTGTGAGAGAAATAAAATGGTTCGTGTTGAAGGTAGAGTGAGCGGTATGTTCCTGGACCTAACCTAGCAATGGATGGGGAATGTGGTTTGTCGCTGAGAGGTACAAAGGAGGGGATTAGGCTTTGTTGGGTACTTGTCCGTGGTCCAAAGTCCTCAAAAAGAGTATGGAGACTTCAACCCAACCTATGCAGTGCTCGCAACTCATGTGTTGACAACGTGCAACAAATTCTTATGGATTGCAGCACGGTCCAAGCCGGTCGTTCGTTGACGCCAATGAACTAGGACAATCGCCAACCCTCCGACCAACTTGAGAATCCGAAACTCATGCAACTGCTTCTCATCCAGGCTGAGATTCGGGAGCTGCACCGCACAAAGACCATCGCCCAGCAGGCGCTGCGCGACGCCGACGAGCGCGCACGGCTGGCGCGCGCCGACGTCGCCCACTTTCAGAACCAGGTCGCGGCGGCGCTGGGGCAGCGGGACGAGGCGCTGCTCGAAGCCGACCAGGCCAAGGAGCGGTGTGAAAAGGCGCTAAGCGAGTGTGAAGCGGCTCAAGAGCGGTGTGAAAAAGCAATCCAGGAGAGGGATCGGTTAGGAACAGAGCTGGCGGAGTTGAAGGCGGAGGTGGGCCGGTTTCTGCACGAGGGGGGTGAAAGTGGGGCCCTAAGGAGCCCCCCGGAAGCGATTGGGCAGGACGCGGCGGAGGGGATGTGCCAGGAATGTGGGAGAGGATCGTCCAGGCGGGAAGAGGAAGGAGGGGCGGAAGAGTCCGATGTAAACGACGAGGCGGTTAGCGAGGAAGAGCAAGACACGGCTAGTGAAGGATCCTTCGACGAAGAGTCGGTTAATGCAGGACGATTGGGAGAAGACGCTTCTGAACCAGGAGAAGCAAGTGACGGATGTTTGAACGTCCAGAAAGGGACGCCAGGGGAGGGCTTCGCTAGTGAAGCTTATGAAGCGGAGAGGCGGGCGATGCATGAGAGAGTGGAAAGCTTGGAGGAGCAATTGCGGCTGGTGACGGAAGAAAGGGAGTTGCTCAGGAATGAGCTAGAGGCCTCAAAACGGGAAGAAAAAGATGGGGGTAATTTGAGAGCTGCTGTTGGGACGGTGGCTGAGACGCAATTCGTTGGAGGAGTTGTTAAGAGGAAGGGTGTAGAGACGCAGATAGGAACGGCCGCAGATGCATCGGCATCAGAAGAAACGGAGGCCGAGTTGCGGGAATCGACCACAACAGCGCTCGGCAAAGAAACTCATACAGAAGCAGAGTCGGAAGTAGAGCGAGAGAAACGAGAGCCGGTACGCGCAGAGTCACTGCCACGTGTCAACGTTTTCGACGTCGATGCGCTCGGCGCAGGGCTTGTGAGTGCCAGCTCGGCTTTGCAAGCGCAGCTGTCGCAGCTTCTGAACGAGCCGGGAGTTGCGTCTGTGCTCGAAGAAACTGCAGAACGGGCGATAGCCAGTCAAGAACTCCCGGAAAGTGCCACGTCATCGGCCGAAAATAGGTCTCTGGATCTGTCCCTTTCCTCTACCCACCCCTGGAAACTTCCTCGGCCGAACAGGGTCAGCGAGCTCGACGAGTCTGCTAACCTTGGCGCAACCTCTTCAGTCAACTCACACAAAGCGAGCGAAAGCCCCTCGGATCAACCTTCAGCTCCCAGCAATAGTAGCTCCGATAAGCCCCCAGACTCCGGCAATAGTCGACTAGGAGGTCTATCCAACTCCGACGGCTTATCGGCGATTCCTGGCGAAGAGTTCGATGTGCGGCGCGCCCTCGCACAGGCAGCACAGGAAAAGGTCGCGGCCCTAGTTCTGCTGAGTCAGCAAGAGGAGCGGCACGAGATGGAGGCGCGCCAAACCCTAAACCTCCACGCGCGACTCGGGGAGGCGCAGGAGCGGCTCGCGGACGTGGTCCAGGAGAAGGTCGCGGCGCTGCTCGAAGTAGCGCAGTTGAGGGAAGAGGTTAAGAATCTGAAGGACTCGGAGAGGTGAGGGGTAACAGTTGGGGCTCTTCAGGTGCATTGGTCATTCTTGCAGGGGTCTATTCCCGCAAGCAGAAGAGCCATCAATTTCAATAAAACATAAAAACTGAAAGGAAAAAGTCTTTTTTTTTGAATAAAATTGAGAAATGATTGAAAAAGCATGCGTTTTTTTAAAGATACGCGTGGGAGACCTCTAGAGTCGTTGGTTGGGTGCTATGGATACGGCTTCCAGATGTGCTTAACGATTTAAGGACGAACGTGGTCTCAACCTTGAAGAACTCTGAGAGCGGGTGATGTGCACTAATTGGATTGCCCATCGTAAGTATTGATCTCTGTCGACTGACATTGAAGTTTCCGGTCTGATGTGATTTGAAGCTCGATTCCGGGCCGAACGATTTGGGTTGTCAGGCTGCTCCAAGTGGCGCGACTGTGGCGAGGAGAATCTGGTCAATACCTTTTTAAGATAGAGTGTAAGGCCGGGCTGAATCCGAGGTTTGCTCTCCGAATCCGAAGTCTTGGGATTTGGCTCGCGGACAAAATCATCAAGCTACAGGAGGAGGAGCCACGTCCGAAGCACGTACGATCTCAGCTGTAGGCATATGCTCTTTCAAACGCAACTTCACCTATCTTCAAATCTACAGAAAACCTTGATACTTCTGAGATCTTGTACAAGTGTTGAGATAGGCCATTGTCTCGCAGCACTTGCCCTCCCTTGCTTTTCAACGATCTTCTTGATCGCCGTTGACACCAGGAGTCGGGAAATATTTTAAACGTGTACAAGCCAGATGCTGTTCCATAAACAACGGGCAAGTATGAGGATGAAGAAGTGGCCATCGCAACCACTCTCAACCCTCAATTCTTGCCTTCTCCACAGGCGGCTCTCCGCTCTGATCCAGCAGCAGCAGGGGGTCAGCTCGCTCAGTAGCAGGCTGCTCCCCGCAGTCTGGTCCAAACCCCCCGCGGCAAAAGACGGGGCAAAAGAAAGCGGCCAGGGAAACAGTGCCAGATCGCCCGCCGTCAGCCCGTCTCCCAGCGCCGTGTCATTGGAAGAGCAGGTTAGCAAGCCGCGTTGGTCACCGAGCTTGTTTGTATTCGGTGGCATAGCTGACCGTTCCTACAAAGGAGATTCGCATGTAGGTGCTCGTGTTTCTTCTGGAGATTCTCGTCCTTGACGAGTCTCGAAAGGTTTGGCGAAGGCGAAGGAGAATGAGCTCCGAAATGGTTGGTGCCATCGAGAGGGAGCACCCGAGCCACCGTTTGTGATTGGTGCAGAATTATCACTGCCCAATAGGACCAGGAGATGAAGTCGGGATTGTACACGCATGCTCGAGGATCAACCCCGGCTGAATTGTGCAGCACTGATAAATCTTAAAGCAATAAAGCGGACGAGTGAGGCGAGGGAGCGAACGGTCGAATTGCTCCCTGTGATCGTCCTTGATCTGTCAGGAATTCCAGCTTCGATTCGTCTGGCCTACTTTGAGTCACAAGTTCCAGGACACGTCACCCTGCGTCATGCCGTTGACACGTGTCTTTTCATCCCCTAGGAACGAACTGGCCCCACTAGCCCCAGCTGGTTCTCCGCCAAGCCCGCCTCCGCCCCGACCAGCCGCCGGCATTCCGGCAATGGAACCGGAACCGGAACCGGAACGGACCCCCAACAGAAGAAGCCCAATTGGTACCGGGGCTGGATCCCCCGGGGTGACGTCAGCAAACGCCCTGCGAGAAGCGAGGGATGGAGCAGCGGGGACGAGGGGGGGGGTGACGTGGCGCGCCTGCGGGTGGAATTTGCAGCGCTCCAGGAGAGAGTCGCGACGGTGGATCGGCTGACGGCGTCGGTGCATAAGCTGCGGACCAGACTCGCGGGGGTGAGGGAATTTTACCGACTAATTATTGGAAATTATGCTGCGAGTAATGGATGTTGAAGCGGGCGAGTCTCGAATGAGACCCAAGCAGGAGCATGAAGCGTGCTAGTATCAGTCGAAATCCTTTTGGCGTATGTTACCACAAACAGCAGTTGTAATGTTGGGGTCTGGCGGAAACAACCGAGAAGGAGTTGCCTCTCAATTCGCGCATCTGGCTCTCTCACCAGATTATTCACGCTGTTCTGGATGGAGTCGTCAGTCTATTTCGTAGTTGGCTCGGGCATCGATTGGTTCCTTCTTATTGGATTGATGTGCGGGCACTGTGTACAGACGATTGATCACCAACGTTCAGATGACTAACTCAAACTTCACTTCTAAACGTTGCAGGCTGTAAGCGGAGTCCCCAACATCGATAGCCTATCCTCCTCCCAAAGCGTATCCCATGTTCGCGCCGCCCTTGAGACCATCGAAGCAGTGGCGACCGAGGCGGGGCAGCTTAAGACTGCGCTGGGGGGCTCTTTGCCAGTAAGTTACTCGGAAGAGGGGGGGTACTCCACCAGCGAAAACGAGGGGGTAAAAACGGGAACGCGCGATGTGATGGATACTGCAGCGGCGGCGGGGGTTGAAATGGCGGAACTGATCATAGCAACGGCGGAAGTGCAACGGGGGGTCTTGCAGAAACTGCTTGAGAATGATTCCAAGGGATCCCCTCAGAGTGGTGGGTTATTGGCGTGATAGGATGGGCTCGCCGGGGCAGTTTGTCTGAGAAGGTTCCTGGGGGCGCTTGAGAAGAGGGTGCAGCGCAATCTATGAGCGTCCAGTCGGGCGCTGCGACATGCGTGTGGCGATGCGCCTGCCTTCCTGGAACAGCCGGAGAATCTAGTGAACCGGTCGTTTACGGCCGCGCGAGCTTTCCTTTCCAGATGCACCCTACTCAATTCAACTAGTTTGCTGGATTTTGCATGGGGTTATGAGCGACCATTCCTTGATCCATCATGACTATCATGTGCCGTACAAGGTGTTGTGCATTGAACGTGTTGGATATTTTGAACCAGTTGTCATGTCCACGACGTGCAAGGACTAAATAGAATGTTCAGTGAGCCTGTGAATTGCAATATGCATGTGGTCCGGAGGTCCGTCAATGAATCATTTAAGTTGCATGATGGCCAATTGGGAAACAATACTTCAAAAGCCAATCAATGCACTAGCTATAGCTGGATGGAACATCTTCGACTGGACAGTGGAGGCGCTTTGTCGGGCGCGTTGAGTATGCAGATTGTGACGTATGCATGTGCCAAATTACGGCCGGAATCTTGCAATGAGCCTATACAAGCCTGCCGCGGCCGGCACCCGGGCGGCCGCGCCCATGTTACCTTAGGAACGCCCACTGATGGGCCGGCTCAGGCTCGCGGCGCGCGCAGTTCTGGCTCAGACCGTGTCTAACGGTCAGACTGGACGCCCACGATTCAAACTTTCAAAGCTTGCAAACGAAAGAGGACTCCGGGAGCGCCTCAATAGATGCAAGAATGGTGAACCTGAACATGAAAGAAGCGCCCCGCTAGAGAGCTAGTCCTAGGAGAAAGCTAGCAGGGGCTTCTTCCTGCGGAAATGTCTGTTACACAATCCCGGTGGTAATGTGTGCCGCTGTTGCAGCAGCTCGCGCCTGGGCCCGGAAAAGGTCTGTCGCAGCAGTTGTGATTTGGACATCGATAAAAGCGGTGCCGTTCAAGATGGATTGTTCCTGCCACATTCGGTCCGGGCAATCGCACGCCTTTCAATCAGTTCAGTCAGGTTCCACTGCACACTCTAAGCATGTTGTTACTCATTTAGACTGCGGGATAAATGCGCCTGTCATGGGGTCCCAGAGAGCGGTAAGCTATGGCGGTGCCCATAAGACGGTGCGTCTGCGGGGGTGCTTTTTAGGCAGCTTTGGGGGCGGGTTCCATAGCAAGTTCATGGAGAATTTCAACACCCACTTTGGAGGGGCTTATCACACCCACAAAGGGAGCTCCTGGGAGGCCCTGCGGATGCTTGGTGTGCCCGCACACAACTGGGATAATGAAGCGTGGGCCGGTTGGCAGGGCCTACCTGAAAAGAAGCGGGCTCGAATTATCCGCAGTGCCATAGATATGGGCTGTGAGCGCAGGAGCAACAACGACGTCATGCCGGGTGAAAAGATTCACCTCAGGGGCAACGCAATGCTGTCTCTTGACAAGCCGGATCTAGTGATGAATGGCAAGAGCGCTGCAATCCAAGAGCTTTCGCAGCACTTCTCCGGTCCGTCTCAAACAGTTGGCGAAGGACAGAAGGTACTTGGAACTGAGCAGCTGGAGAAGTCAACTGCTGGTGACGAGTCAGAAAGTAAGAACGGTGCTGTAACCAATGGGGTTCTGAGAAATGATGCTGTCAGCATTTCAAGTGAGGGGGCCGGGGCAGGAACTCACCGATTTGGGGCAGAGCCGGAAGGGGGTTTGGCGTGGTTGCAGGAGCTGAGCATCAGGCAAGTGGAAGTATAGACTGCTAGCGTTCTGTTGAGATTGAGGACCTTATCAACGAACGTATTGAGCCTTTGACATGGTGTGAGCTGTGATGTTATGTCCACGTAAAGGCTGGATTTTGATACATGTTGGCACGTATAGCCTGGCAGTCTTGATAAGCGCTGTCTGATGCGGAAAGCCCACTATGATAGCTGCAAAAGTTGCAAGCTCGAAGCTTAATAACATTTGCAGGTTGCCAGAATATGTGCTCTCTCAACCCGCTCACGCGTATGAGGTAAATTCCAGCCGTTAAGCTTTCAAAACATTGTCAGACTGCCAGGCCCCCACCATTAAACTTGGCAAATATTGCTACTAACAACCAGCAGAGGTTTGCTTTGTTTGCTGTGGGAGATCGCAACTAGTGCTATTTCTCCAATGACATGGAGTCCTTAATTGCATCCCGTACACGCTTTGATCTGCCCGACAACTATGATGTGCAACCTGGACTTGAGGACCCGAATCCCCCGTCGGGACGTTATTACGACGTCATGCCTTGTGTTTTCTTCCTTGTTTTGATAGGCGATACATTGATTGGAGAGTCATAGTACTGCTATTCGTTCATAACTTTCAAACTCGATTTGCTGTGCAGCAACTTCGCTCTTGTAGAGGAGCAGATCGTCATGTTCAGCCCCGGGCTAAACGTCATCACGGGCGAGAGCGGCTCCGGCAAAACCATCCTCCTACAAGCGCTCGGCCAGATTCTCGGCGCCTCCCTCGCGGAAGACTCAATCCGCCCCCCCGCCACCTCAGCAACCCTCGAGGGCCGTTTTGTACTTGCCCCCATGCTTCGGCCAATCCTGGCCTTCCACCTGGACGGCAATCCAACGGCCGTGATCGCGACACTTGGCGATGCGGGGACGTCGATGTTGGGCGGTCCAGTCCAGTTGGTTCTGGCACGGGAGATCCTTGGCAGGGGGGACGAAAACGGGCCGGGAAAAGGGGGGGACGACAGGAGGGCGGGGAAGGCGCGCAGCGTGTGTAAGATCAACGGGGCGCTGGTGCCGCTTAAAGTGTTGCGGCGGGTGGGGGCGATGCTGGTGGATGTGAACGGGCAGAACTCGCAGGCGAGTCAATCAATCATTGATTATTTCCCTTTTGAGCCCCTCTCTTGCACACCAAACAAGAAGCAGAGGCGACACAGCCGCGAGAGTCTGTTCAGTTCGTCTTTGTTATTGAGAAGCCGAGAAGATTCCTCTCAGCGTTTGGGTTGCCTTCTAAACGGGCACGTGCATGTTGCAGTGAGCCGCAGGTCGAAGGCGAAATACAGGCAGTCCCAGCATAGCCGTTCCGGACCTGTGAATTTCGGCAATATGAAGTCCTGAAAATCACGGGTATGTTTTCTGGTTGTTCAAGGAACCAGCACTGCGGACAGAAAAGAAACACACAGAGAATCAGGAGAAGAAGGAAGAGGAACGAACCCAGAAAATACAAGCTTGAGAAAGAAAGAAGGAAAGAAATAACACGTGTGCTTTTCTGTTGCTTTCGTTCAGGCGACTCTGCGCTCCGAGGCCTCCCAACTCGAGATGCTCGATCGCCACGCTGGGGCATCCTCATACCGCGAGCAGTTCGCGCAGCTCACGGAGCGGGCGCGCGCCATCTGGCGTGAGATGGAGGAACTAGGGAAGGGGGGCCAACGGGAAGAGAAAGAGCTGACGGAACTGGTGGAGGAGGTCGGGGCGCTGGGGATGGACTACGGAGATGAGGAGACGTGGCGGAACGAGCTGAAGCAACAGGTACGGTTTCTTGGTGGAAGAACGAATTAGAGTTGAAAGATTCCTCGTGTTCGTAAATTCTCAGATTCGAAGGTTTGACGAACTCGTGTCTTTGATGGTTGGGTTCGTGGAGGAAACAGGGGAAGCGAGAAACACAGCAAACAAGATTCGGGCGTCCAGGTTGCACTCAGGCGAGAAGAGCGCGCAGCGGAACGCATTGAAGAACAGGTGACATCTGATCGGAGAAAACTCCGAAAGTCAACACGAATCGAGCATGGGATACTTCGTGAACAAGGAAGGGAAACGAAGAAAGCGGGAAGCGGTTCGACTCTGAAGCGCTTTGCTTGAATATAACGAGGCTGTTGCACGTACGTTTTGCTCGGGCATGCATCCGGGGGGGGGGAAGCGTCGACACCGTAGTGCAAAGAGGAGATCTAGAGCGATTGCTGCAAAAGTCATCAAACACTCGTATGGAAAAGGGGTAGTGGGCAGTCCACACGGATTTGCTGGTCTGGAGTCGATTCCTACAACGAACTGGGAACAAGGAAAGAAAGACGCTCTCTTTCTTTTGGTTGAAAGAGGTCCACTTTTGGTTGCTGTAAGGGGCGCTCTCTTCCTGACGTCAGCAAACTGCCATCTCCGAGCAGGCGGCAGCTGACCACTGCGGGGCAATGCATCCCCCTCACGTCGGAGGCCGGCCGGGGATCCCCCTTTCTTGCTGACGTCAGCAATCCGTCGCTTTCGCAGGAGGCCGAGCAGGCTGCGGCCGACCACTGCCGGGCGGTGCACTCCCTCATGTCGGAGGCCGGTTCGAGCGGCCGAGGGGTATCCCCCTCGGGCCGCGGGGGGGCCGGGATCAAGGGCAGCTTGCGGGCGGTGGTTCGGGAGCTGCAGAGCATCGTGGGCGAGTCGGACGACGGGGAGGTGGTGACATGGAGCGGGGAGGCGTCCGGGAGTGACGTCAGCGACGCGCTGGATATGGTCGTCGAGGCGCAGGCGCTGCTCGAGGCCGCGGTGAGCGGCGCGTGCTTTCTGCAGGAAGAGTTATTCCACTGCTTCTCGCTCAACCCTTGATTGCGGCGATCATGCTGAGTTCCATTGCTCGGATGCTTTTTTCCATTACTCGTTGTCGCCGTCGTTTCAGGTTTCCCAATTCGCTCACCAACATCTGCTCTCATCTTGCCACACGTTCCTTTCTTCTCTTATCCCCTTGTAGTTCAGTCCTCTCTTTCCCCTCCTCTTCTCACATCTGCCCGATTGTCTGTAATACGAGGTTCTCGACTGTTTTGACCCAGTCCTTTCCAGGTTCACTTGGTGCTACAGAATCATTTACTTGTCCCCGTTCCACAGTTCCTCCTCTTCCTGGCTTTTCAACCCACCTCGTTTACACTCTTCCCTTCCCTCCGTCCAGATCCTCTTCTCTTCCTTCGTTTCATCGGCTATTCCTCAACCTGTTTGCCCCAGTTTCGCCCACTTTTCTGCTCTCATCTCGTTCCCATTCCATCGTCTCTAGATTTTTCGCTATGATCCAACTTGCTCTGTCCCGATGACCAACAGGACTTCTCACCATACGCACTATGGAGCATAGAAAGCGGAGGAGACTCCAATCCTCCGATTAGCAGGAAAACCGTGATTCTGGACCAAGTACGACCGTGATTCTCGACTAACTACGAACGTCGTGAATTCGCCACTCTCAACTGTCAGACATTGTTGATGTTGGGCAGGAAGCGCGCGTTCAGGAATTTGCCTCGGGGCTGCGCTTCTCGGAGTCGCGCGCGCTGCAGTTGAAGCAGCGGTTGCGTCAGCTCCAGAAGCTGCTTCGGCGGTATGATGTCGAGACGGCCGACGAGCTGCTGGAGAAGGCGGAAGAAGCGGAGGAGCGGCTCAATGGAAAAGGTGAGCTCTTGTCAGTTTCACGGTTTACAGTTTGTCGTTTGGGGGTTTCGGGCCGTGGAACCTGGGTTCTGGCAAAAGTAGGCCTGTAAGAAAACCGCACGAAGCCAGCCGACAAGCTGCTGGAGAAGGGGGGGAAGCAGGGGCGCGGCTTAACGGAGAGGGTGGGCTTTAGGGTTTTGAGGGGTTACGGTCTCTTCATCCTGGGTTTTTAGGGTCCAGTGTTATGAAGGCTTAAGAGGGACGGCGTGAAAACGGTTGACTAGGTGCTGGAGATGGCGGAGGAAGCGGAGGAGCCGCTCAACGGAAAAGGTGGGTTGAGGGTTGAGAGGTTGTCCGTTTCCCGGTTTTACGACGGGTTTCGAAGGTATACCAGGAGGTTTGGAGATCAGGGAATATCGGATTTAAAAAGCGGAGGAGCGGCGCAACGGGGAAGGTGATCTGAGGGCACTGAAGGCTTCCGGACTTGTCTCTTTAAACCCTTAACCGCCTCAACCAACGGCCAACCTGCGGCGCAACGTCGGTTCCTTTTCTTCTGCTTACTGAACCCCTGAAGGACCTTAAAGGTCAAACTTCGGCCCCTTGTAATGACATTGCAAGTTTTCCCCCTTCATTTACAAAAAGAATAAGGCGGAGCCCTGAAATGATTTTGAAATGCCCTCCTCTCAGGTGATGCGGCGGGAAGCGCTTGGGGCCCCCTGATTTTTGCGGTGTACCAAACGGCGCTCGAGCTTATCCTGCGCAGACAAACCCCTCAAAGACGAGCCCTTTTCTCAGGCGGGACCCCTGCAAAAGCTTATGTATCCTTTCCCCCCAGGTGATGCGGAAGTGCGGCGAGAAGCGCTCCAGGCAGAGTGGGAATCCCTCGTTCCCGCGCTGTGCAAAACGGCGCTGGAGCTGAGTTTGCAGCGGCGGCGCGCGGCGGAGGGGCTGCGGCAGGCGGTCGAGGAGGCGCTGAAGCAGCTGGCCATGGAGCGGAGCAGGTTCCACGTGGACGTCGCCTGGGTAGGCCACGTGGCTGTGTGTATTTATAAGTGTATTTATAGCACTGCGGGGTTTTAGCTTGGCTCTGATGACCTGGTAGCGCAATCATCGTAGTCCCTTTTCGAATCGGCAATAGAGGGTCTGATGGCCATAGAACGGAGCAGGTTCAAAGTGGAGTCGCCTGGGTAGGCCACGTGGCTGAGCGCGGCTTTGCTTGAGTGTGGTTTCAACGTGTGAAGGTTTTCCTTGGCTCTAGTGACCTGGTAGCGATCAATGAAGTCCGTGTTCAAGTTGGTAATACTAATGGCAACAGAGCGGAAGCGGGTTGCACGTGGACCTCAGCTGCGTAGGCCACGTGGCCGAGCGCGGAATTGGTTGTGGGGGTTTGTTGTGACATTTTTAAGGTCGCACTTGGCTTGGTCGAGCTGGTTGCGATTACGGAGGTGCGGATTGAAGTTGGTAATGCTTTCAGAGTCTGCTCTTCAGAGTCCACCAGGTTCTTGTGGGGCTCGCATCGGCTAAGGGTGCGGCCAAAGCTGGGTCTACCTTCCAAAGTGTGCAGTAGCTCCGAATTTAGGAGATCCGTGTCAACTGGGTCCTTGCAAAATTGATCAAGGTTGGCGCAATGACATCCGGGTGGAGTTTCAAAAGACAAGCCACACGCAAGAAACTCGCCGGCCTATTGTGGAGTTCAGGGCTTAAGCGCACGCCTTGTTCTGATTCGCATTTACCAATCGTCCGCAGGTGAAAGGTTCGGCCTCTCCTGCCAACTTAGATGCCGCCGATGAAGACGAACTAGACGAGGACGAGTTTGAAGAAGACGACTTTGAGGAAGAGGACGACGTTTTCGACGAGTCCGAATCCGAAGACGAGCCGCCGCCCATTCTCATCGACAAGGGGCTCCTGCGGGTCCCGGACGCTGGACAGGTGTGGCTCTCATCACTAAGATCATTTGACGAAATGAAATCAATGACGATCAGACTCCCAATCGCATCAAGGAGACTGATGGACAAGCGTGAAAGCCCAGCGTTGGCGCGCCCCTTGTATGCGCACCACCACTCTGACAAAATGCGAATTGACCCTACCTTCAACCCCCAAGTCCGGTTATCTTTCATGCCTCAATCTAGTTGTCCCAGGTAGGTCAAACTCTGTCCGTGAGTACGTCAGCTTGTGCTTCGTCAGTACCTCAGCTAGCGCTTCGTCTGTTCGTTCTCGTTACGTCACGTCATGCACTCTACGTCACTTTGTGTTTCTCGGACCCTTCAACTTCACATATCCGGACAGGTCGGCAAAGCGGCGTCCAATATCATCCGATTATATGCCGTCATTATCATAATGTGTACCCAGCGGAACCAACTAGGATGTGTTTTTTGCTAGGTCGGCGAGGCCGCATCCGAGTATTACCACTTCACATCGTCCGGCGTCGACCGCGTGACGTTCAAGCTAGCCGCGGGCGCGGGAGAGCCGCTGCTGCCGCTGAGCAACGTGGCGTCGGGAGGAGAATGCGCGCGCGTCATGCTGGGTGCGTTTCCAAGTCTCTTTTATAGATAGTTCCACCGACGTCATGCTACGTCATTGGGCGGCGACTAATTTACAGCAAATGCGCGCTGTCCGTCGCTGCGCAGTTTGCCGGCTCAAAACTCGGCAACTGACGCTAGCAGTCTCCACTCAATCTTGGCTGTCAAGACCCGCCGTTAAACTAAGCCGTCCAGCCATCATGCGTGAGCAGATTATCCATTCAAAGGGGGCGTCGTGTGACCCGTTACGGCACCACATAGCCCGGTTGCCTGCATTCCGGTCGCTAACCTCGATACCACGTGACCAAATATTTAGCAACACGAGGACAGGATATTCTGGCGAAGGGGCCGCGGAATCACGTGGTTTAACGCCCTCTTTGACACCCTTTGATGTCGCTTCCGCATTGCTTAAAACTCTTAGGGACACAGCATGTCATGCTGGGTACTTAAAGATCCCTACGCTTCTTCGACGCCGTCTCTGCATAGCCTCTTGGAAGGGCGCGCATGGGTTGCCGTTTACGTGCAGATCCGTAGCTTTCTGTCGTGAGCCTTGGCCGACCGTGGCAAAGTAGTAAGGGCGTATCCCCTGAGCGTATCGCCAGTATTCAATCTGACTTGCGATCATTTGTTCGTCTTGTTAGGAGTCTTTGGAACATCGAGGACGTTCCTGCGACGAAAATTCCGCCCGATCAGTCCGTTTCAACCGGTACTTCATCACAGATCTCGAACTTCAACACCCCAAATTTGATTTATTCCCTGCAGCGCTCAAAACCGTTCCCGGCGCGGCGGAGGGCGGCGTTCCGGTGGCCGTGTTCGACGAGTTGGACAGCGGCGTCGGCGGCCGGATCGGCGCGCGTCTCGGGAGCAGCCTGCGGCGGCTTGCGAGCGCGGGGCATCAGGTACGTGAAGCGCTTTCTTATTCTTATTCTGGCACCTGTGACAAGTGCCTGGACATCTTAGGGTTTGCGAGGCACCGAATTGTCGTTAAGAGCTGGAAGTGAGTACAAGAAGCATGTTGGCTGGTTCTTACAAATGTTTCTACTGGGCGAATAGTCCGGGGCTCGCGTTGGGGATAACAGTGTTCAGTCTCAAAGGCGATGGCAGGAACACAGAATTTGTGCAATTTTTTTGCATTGAATCGTGGTCTTTGAGTCTGCAATCTGTCTAACATGTGATGCTCAAAGAAGTTGCTCAGTCATGACCTAAAACTCCGATCGAGTGGCATGAAGCGTTAGGGTCGTCAGCTTGCCAGCTGCGGACGGGTGGGAATCCTTTGAGGGTTCGGTAGGGGCACGGGCGCGAAGCGGGTGATGTCAAGGGGCTAAGTTTTTACTCTTAGATTAGCAGCTTTCCCATGCTTATTCTTAGTGTTCGACAATCGAAGAGCATAGTAGGTACGAAGGATCTCCCCGCTGGTCCTGCAGGTGTTGTGCGTGACGCACCTCCCCCAGGTGGCGGCATATGCCGACCAGCACGTGCGGGTGGTTAAGGAACCGGGTCAGGACGGCCGGTCGGTTACTCGGGCGGAGGTGCTGGACAAGGAAGAAGCCCGGGTGAGGCAAACCGGACACCTTGTCTCTGTCTGAAACTGAGGGGCCTGGGTAGTTTTGGCGGCCGACAAGTCTGGCATCACACATCCAGCTTCAGCTTTTATCAGAACGATTGTCTGCTCAAGCTGTAAATTCATTTGTGTCAAAAGCTGGTACGAATTGACTGATTGGCGCCGATTGGCCATCCTGAGACTGGTATTCTTTGCACTTCTTTGATGACTTTGTCAGCAGCATCGCGTCGACTATTTTCATCTCTTTGCTGCGGGCGAGGGGTCCATTCTTAACGGAACAATGGTAAGTTGAAGTACCATTTTCCGACGTATTGTGTCACGTTATCAGTAAACAGAAACTTCTTGGTTCTGTGCAGTTAGAAGAGATAGCCAGCATGCTGGGGTTGGGCATCCCTGCGGCGCGGGACTTGCTAGCGGGCGTCACTAGCAACGGTGCGCCAAGCAGCCTCGCTTTGGACGACGCCCCACCGGCGCGCTCGGCTAATCAGGCGCCCAAGTAGTTACTAATAAGGTAAGCGGATAGGAATTTTACTAAGCTGACTCACAAATATTAGATAATGCGTAAAGCGCAGCATGCCAAGCCCGCGTTTCTGGCGTGCTTTGTTGTAAAAACTAATTGCGGATACATAGCCATTATGGAGATAATAGGAGGATTGAGCATACTCGTCAAGCTACCTGGAAACTTCCAGCCGGATCTGCAGGCAGATTCAATAGGCAATAACGGCATAATGCTGCGCTCGCAAGCTGCCCTGTAAAATATAAACCTAAAAGCTGGTCAGTGTATGTAGCATAAAAGTATAGCTGCAGGTGATCTGATTTTTAGACATATGTAGTTGTGTTAAAGCCTTGCTGAGTAGATTGAATACAAACACCGGTGTGCATGCAAGTTCTCGTACGTGAATCAGAGCATATTTTGCAAGCGTTTGGCATGCCGGCCGGATGGTCGCATGAGATGTCGATTCGTTGATGTAACTAGTAGTTTGGGAACAGGTGAGGGCTGCAGCCTGCTCGCGGGCCTATTGTGAACATGATTGAGCTTGCATCATAGCTGAATTGCATGCGATGAGATTGCGGACTTCGATCATTCCTCGAATCATGGCCGCTCACTGCTTGATCCGACCGCGTGATGGACCAATCGAATTGCCGGGATCATCCATGGCAGATAGTATGTATTCACATGCACCGCTGCCGCCCATGAGCATGAGACGATTATTTCAGAAATTTTCGTTAAATAGGCGCGGGCCGGCTGACCGGCTCTCAAAAATAAGCTCGGGCCCGATTATATGAGTGGGCTTTCATTGCTGCATCGGCCACGCCGGGTCAGGTCCAACGATCAGTGCCAAAAGATAATATAAACAAAGAAATGTCTGGAATGTGACTGACATTGAACCGAGACAAGCGGCACTGATTCAGCAGATAGAAGCTCCACTCTACATTGCAGCGTGCTATTTCGGCGGCATCTTATTTCAGCCTGTTAACTGTCCGGACCCCGATTTCTGCTGCTATGGGATCCTCTCCTTGGTACTCTCACACTCACAGAAAACATTGTTGGCCTGGCCATCGCTATGGCCGCCAGTTCTACATTGACCCACCAACTATATGATGGTCGAGATTATCAGAGAGGCGTTCAGAAGAGCGTAAATATACTTTTGCTCTTATTCCTGTCTCCTTGAAGCTGCCGAAGGCAGCACGTAAACGTTTCCCATGGTAACTCAACGAAATGGTCTGACCGCACATGTTAGAAGCAAGCTACGCCCGGAATTGCCACTCTCGTCGGCACATGGGGCAGTGGGGTTGCGGGCTCTGTGAATTGACCCACTTCAGGATGCAGTGAAGGTGGAACGCATGGTTGCACGCCCCCCAGACTGCAAAAGAAGATAACAGGGCTGACTCAACGGCGGACTGATTTCTATGACACATATATGCTTTTGACTCCCTTCCAGCAGCCTGAGCAACTGATGCCACATGTAACACTAGCTGGGATTGTAATCGAGCAGACAGACAGAAAACACAAGCCATGGCCCCTCAGCCAAACATGAGCTCCACCACAGTTTTTGTCTTAGAACTCAGGTCAAGAATATCAGCAGCTGAGGGGCTTTGAAACTGGACCTTTCACCCAACACATTTTAGCTCCTCCAGAAATTCTGAGCAGTCTGCAACGGTTTCGCTTACTCAGGGGGCAGTCGTCGCCTGCAAACTTGCAGTCTGGACAGCAGCCGTCAAACGCCATCCTGCAGATCCCGCACGTGTCTTCGCCAGCGTCCCATGTCCACACGCCCACCGCATGCCACCTGTAAAGAGCACAAGCAATGTCAACATAGCTCACCAGCGGCTACGTAATCAGTCCTGCCATGGAGGATCCTGTAGGATCAGATGGTGGCAGCTGATGGAGGACTCATCCAGGCAGAATGGAGTGACTCACACAGAAAGCTACAAGTTTTTGGAGGAAGCTCAGGCAGAATGGAGTGACTCACACGGAAAGCCACAAGTTTGGCCCAGCTGACCTACTCATCAATCAAGCAAGCCCTTCAAAGCTGGATCCCTCTTCTGTGTGAAGTTGTTCGGTAATAGAAGATGAGGAGTGCGGTACAAACAACAAGCTTCAGTAGCCACGAATGCTTTGACAGAAGGGGAACATGTCCCGTTTCCCATGGAATAAGTTGCACTTGCTTCAGATGTCTCACGTGTAAGGGCGGTCAATTGAGGTAGCGATGTGGGCCTTCAGTATACAGGCATGGCTGCTAACCCATTTAGCTGATGTCAGCAAAGCGGCACGCTGATGGCTTTGAATGAATACTGTTCTGCATCGCTGACTGTATCTCTGCCTCACTCTTGCGCATACCACTATTATTAGACCTTGGGTGGTGTTTGGGTCACTGTTAATCTGGACCAGCTAAATCGTTTCGCGAAATTGTAAGATGGAGCTCGCGGCACAAATGTTTCGCTTGCAAGCTCAGAAGCAAAGTTGTGCGAGAACTTGCTCCTTGCACCTTTTCAAAAAGATAATTTGACATTTGATTGACCAGTGGTGTAAGGTTTGAAGCACCTGCGCGGATCCGAAACATTCAGAAACAAAACAAGCGCCACAATGTGGATCATGGAATGGAGGGCAGAATGCTTTGCACTACTCACTTGATGATTTTGACCTTCATCTCGTCAACCTCCTCTCAGTATCCTTGCAGGATAAGCCCCCGCACATTAGCAACTTCTCAACGCATTGTGAGCCTGAGGCTGCATGTTGTGCGAGCAGAGTACGCCCCCCAGGCAAGCGTCCCCAAAACAGCGTAATCCCTGCGCCACTCGGCACCGTCAATGATGTACGCCCAGCTTCGATCCCTACCTGGTTCCTCCGTTGTGGACTTATCAGTATTCAGCCAAAGCGTTCAAGGTCTTGTGAAGGGGCCGTGAAAGCCACTTCTGCCAAGCTCAGTAGATAAGATTACTTGAACGCTTGACTGTCAAGTTGACAATGAAGTTGTTGTCAAGTTGAAGTTTAAACCTGTAATAATTGAACAAACTTGAAGCAAATGTCTTGCTTGGGCGGCCGCGCCGCTTCCGTCGCGGGCCCGGCCGCGCAGGCCTGGGGATTCAGCACGGGTTTCTCGTAGATGCGCCATTAGTGCGCGCGTAAAGCTAGACTGAGCTTTCTAGAAGCTTCAGGAGTACCTATCGACGCAGACTGCGCTTGTGGCTGAGGACTTGTCTTTTCTCCAGAAACTTTTCCAGTGGCGGAGAGAAAGTAATTTCAGCATTTCAGCAGAAAGGCGTGAAGCGCTTTCACATTGTAGCCATCAAGCAGAGCATCAGCAAGGCAGCGACCTCTGAAGCACCATGGCGGCGTCTTGTGCGATGGCGGGCTCTCTGCAGACTGTCCTCAATGGCAGTCTCAGCAGCAGAACAACAGGTGCTCGGTCTCTTGGTTCGTCTTCTTCGTCTTTCACCGCTCCTTCCCCTCTCTTCGCTCACAAGCAGAATGCCAGGCAGCGGGCCAGGGGTGGGGCCCTCTCTGTGACCAGCATGGCTAAGGAACTGCACTTTAACAAGGATGGCTCCGCTCTCAAGAGAATGCAGGTAGGTGATCACACCAACACATATAAGTGATTGTGTTGGTTGTGTTGCCTGACGAGGCTCCTTCCATTGTGTCATTGCATACAGATGCATGCCTGAGTTGCTTGTTGAAGTGCGAACACACCGCGATGCAGGGCTTTCTGTGGGTTTCATTGTCAGTCTTTCGTGTTGCCAGAGTGGTTTTAAAGAAGAGCTGTCGGTCGTCTGCTGCATCCATTCACATTGTCAACTTGTTGACAACATTGCTTCCCCATTGTGGGTCTCATGATGTGGTTTGTCTGCAGACTGGTGTGAACAAGCTGGCAGAGCTTGTGGGGGTGACCCTGGGACCCAAGGGGCGGAATGTGGTTTTGGAAAGCAAGTATGGTTCTCCCAAGATCGTGAATGACGGAGTTACAGTTGCAAAGGAGGTGAGTATTGCCTAAAAGAAGGGCTGTCGGCAGAGTGGATGCATCATTTTCAGGTTATATGAACCTCACCATTACCAAAAGCTTTTGATAGACAGCAGTGGATTAGGGAGTTTGATGAAATCTTGGACAAGATGCAATTTGTCAGGCACAGTTTAATTATTGGACTAATTGTCGGCTCGATTGTTTGATGGAAGTGGTGGTCAAAGCCGCAGGATGGAGTGGATGCTGTGCTATAATGTTGTGGCATTGCAGATAAAGTGATAGGTGATGGTAACGGTGCCCTGCCCTTGGCGTTAGGAACAGCAATCTGACAATTTGCAGAGCTTAGAGCTGGTATGAAGAATGTTACATTCTAGTGGTAGTTGCAGAGGGCCAGCCAAATTTTTGTGTGGTTCTTGGTGCCATCAATGATTGCAGATAGATTGAGGATCTCACGAGATCTTACAAGGTGCTCCACAGGTTTTTAGGGTCAAATGTTGAACAGATTGCTCTGACGATTTCTTGTCTGAGCAGATGGGGTGCACAGGTTCCCCAAATCATTTGCAAGGTGCATTTGATGGCCAAGTAGTCGGGCCAGAAGTAGCATCCGTGTAGCCCAAGCTGAGGAGTTGAACTTTGAGTGTGCAACAAGGTAGCATTCGCTGATACTCAATTGTCTGGCGTGCAGGTAGAGCTGGAGGACCCTGTAGAAAACATTGGCGCTAAGCTGGTAAGGCAGGCGGCTGCCAAGACAAATGACCTGGCGGGAGACGGCACCACCACGTCCGTTGTGCTGGCGGCGGGGATGATTGCAGAGGGCATGAAGGTACGGCTCGTCACAATTGTCACTGCAAACCTCTGTTGATTTGGAACCCCAGGAACAATCCCGGTGGGATACTTGGATGCAGTCGTTCGGAACACCGTCTGATCTGCCTTGAAGTCTCTTGAGCACCTCGCAGCGCTGCTGGTGTGATGGAATGGTTTGGTTGGAAGGTTTGATAGCGGAAGCCCAATTGAAAATTCGATAGGGCAAGAGAAGTTGTTGGCTCAGTGAGAAATCAATAAGATCAACTCGATGTTGACGTCTCCGGGGTGGTCAAAGAAGAGGTCTAAATTGAGTGCTTGTGACTGTACATGGTATAAATTCGCTTCTGTCTTTTCGTATGTTCAGGTTGTTGCTGCTGGGGCTAACCCCATCCAGATCATCCGGGGGATTGAGAAGACGACCAAGAGCCTGGTGGATGAATTGAAGACTATGTCCAAGGAGGTGAGCCACTGGCGCCGGCCCTCTGCATCCGTCCTGCTTCTATCAATCTTGTCAAAGTGTACTTAAAGTGCTAGTTCTGATTGAGGACACATGGCCTTCAACGAGCTACACTGTGTTGTAACATCCCTCAACATTTGCCTTTCCGCAAGTTGCAAGTGTTCCCTGGTCTTGAAGTGGGCCGTCAAGGTGGAATGTCTTCTGGTCAACCGAGGGGTCAAGGGAGCGAGGACAAATGCAAGCTGGATTGAGCGCCCTGAGACGTGGGCCTAATCTAGAGCCTCTGACTGGTGCCAGGTGTCCGACAGCGAGCTCGCTGACGTGGCGGCCGTCAGTGCGGGAAACAACAACGAGGTTGGGCAGATGATTGCGGAGGCGATGGGCAAGGTCGGGCGCACCGGTGTGATCACTTTGGAGGAGGCCAAGAGTGTGGAGAACAACCTGTACGTTGTGGAGGGCATGCAGTTTGACAGGGGCTACATCTCCCCTTACTTTGTCAGCGACCCTGAGCGCATGTCCGTCGAGTATGAGAACGCAAAGGTGAGCGAGCAGTGCCAAGCGCTTCATACAATCGATGCCGCCAGCACACCTTGCATCCAGAAGGGGTGCAGTGCTGAATCGAGAAGTGTGAGTTTTTGGTCATAGCTTGCCCAGGGTGGAGTAAGTCAGCTCCAAAAGCGCCAGTAAGTCAGCCAGTCTTACACAAAATGAGGATTGCTTGACTAACTTTGACATGAAGCGGGGCCCTTGACAAGCTTGGCATCTGCCATGACGTCCCTGTGCTTTTGGTAACAATGAGACAGATCATAATACATTCACACTTTCTGGGCCCCTGGGGTTTCCTTATAGCATAAACGGACATTTCCCTTGGCCCCTGTTCTCATACCGCGAATCCTTCTGGTCAACAAAGACAGTCCGACCGTACTCCTCCCTCACCCCCTTCTCTCACGCTTGCAGATCTTGCTGGTTGACAAAAAGATCTCGACCGCGCGCGACATCATCACCATCCTGGAGGACGCAATCCGCAGCAGCTACCCCATCCTGATTATTGCAGAGGACATTGAGCAGGAGGCTCTTGCCACGCTTGTTGTCAACAAGCTGCGGGGGGCTCTCAAGGTGGCCGCGATCAAGGCGCCCGGATTTGGAGAGCGCAAGAGCCAGTACCTGGATGATATCGCCATCTTGACCGGAGGTAAGAATGGAAGCGATGCCTGAAAATTGATGAGGTACAGAAGGCTGAAAAGGTTGACGGGGACGGGTCTTGTTAGTAGAGGGTTTGGGGGGCTTGAAAATTGGAGCATGTCAATGTGCTCAGGGTTACCAGTGTGGGCTGGTATAGTGGATCTTCGCTGTATATACAACCCAGTTTTCAGTACTTTTAGAAACTGGCTATGAGCTTCGAAGGATGAGGGCTTAAGTTCCAGGATCTGCAATGCAGGATATCTGCATGGGGATCTTCTCGTCTTGGCAGGTGTGATAACCTGATTCAGATTTGAAGCACCCTATTAAATCTGAAGTCAACTCCAATAATTTAAGGGGGGACTCATGTTGATCTTCCCAGGGGGGTTCTGATTGTTCATTACGAGAGATCTTATATTTAGAAGGAACATTCTCGCCGTCTTCAAGTCCTGGCAGAGTGTCTGAGACGGGCTGTGTTGCGGCCGCTACTTTGACGAGAACCCTCGATCTGTCCAACACTGTCGTCCACATTGAGCCAACTTCTGTTGTGACAGCCGCTCTTACCCATCTGCTATTATCTCAAGATCTGTTTCGGACATTTTTTCTGCAGGAACCGTGGTGCGTGAGGAGATTGGCCTGGCTCTGGACAAGGTTGGGCGCGAGGTTTTGGGGAGCGCCGCTAAGATCGAAATCACCAAGGACAACACGACCATTGTGGGAGACGGGTCCACGGAGGAAGCCGTCAAGCAGCGGGTGAACCAGATCAAGAGGCAGATGGAGGTACGGTTGCGAAGCCTCCTCCGCTGATGTAAAAAGGATAAGAAAGAGCAGCTCGTTGAGAAAAGACGGATCCCGAGTGTGCGGTGTTTGTTGTTGGGTCGGCAACTCAACGAATTGATCGGTTGGTCTGTTACAGGTGGTGAGAAAGTGAAAAGGTGGTGAGAAAGTGAAAAGAGCTTCCTGTTGCTGAGTGCAACGTGGAACGGTTTTGCATAGAGAATTGTTTTGGGCGGCTTTAGCAACTCCTGTTCCACTGTCGTGCAGGATACCGAGCAGGATTACGAGAAGGAGAAGCTTCAAGAACGGATTGCTAGGCTGTCGGGTGGAGTTGCCATCATTCAGGTAAGGAAGAAGAGAAGCTCTGTGCGCAAGCGAGGGTGCCAATCGCCGGTTCTAGAAACGAGGCTGTTGTCGGTATCAAGGCGGCTGTTGCACTGCTTCCTTCTGCGATTACGGAGAGGGCACTTTTGTTTGTACTAGGTTCTTCGTTGAGTCAAGAATTGAGAGGGCGCATCTGCTAAGCACTGATCCTTCGATGTTTGAGCCGCACAACATCGCAATACCGTGAACTTGTTGAGACCCTTGGTTTATGAAATTTCCCACTGCTCGCGAAGTCTTTTTTTGACGGCAGTTGAGCGCCGCATTAAGCTCATCCTCCGGAGTCAAAACAATCTGCTAACAATCTGGAGTAGTTTCCATCGCATGAGGCTGACTGTTGCGTCCATCAAGCATATTTTCTTTGACAATTCGAGTGGCAATATCAATACAACGAGGAGTCTCTTTTTCAGGTAGCGGGCCTCAAGCAGGTCCTCAACAAGACTGCTGCCTGGCAAAGCCGCGATCCGGCGAAATAGCACGATCCAGAATTCTGTGTTCTGCACCCACGATTCTGTGGGAAGGAAGTATTCTAGAAAAGGCGCCACGCTATTCTGTAGAAGGCGGGCGCAGGCAACAAGAATAACCGAAAAGGAACCGGAATAAGGCCGGAATAGAGACGGACTTATGAAGCATGCATTGAGCACGGTTTGTATTCGATTGTGCGCAGGTGGGCGCCCAGACGGAGACGGAGCTGAAGGAGAAGAAGCTGCGCGTGGAGGACGCGCTGAACGCGACCAAGGCCGCGGTCGAGGAGGGCATCGTCGTGGGCGGAGGCTGCACGCTGCTTCGGCTCGCGGAGAAGGTCGACGATATTAAGGCGACGCTCGAGAACGACGAGCAGAGGGTGAGCCGCCGCGACTTAGAGATTCTCGGGTCTGAGGATTTTTTGCGCTAAATTTGGCGCCAAGAAGCAGTATCTGCTGTATTTGACAAAGAAGGTCGACGAAATCAGGGCGACGCTCGAGAACGAGCGGAGGGTGAGCCGTCGTCATTCAGGATTTTGAGGATCTAGAGCTTGTCTGGAACAGAGTTTTGGCGTGTTCCCTCCTCTTTTGGGCTTTCGTAATGGGGCGGGGTTGAGCTGGCCTCTTTTCGAAACTGCTGTAGGTCTGACTACAAGGAGCGCAGACTGCCCTTGTGAGATTTGGGGCCCGATTTGAAGTTCGACAATGGAACTGACGTCGAATGGTAGATGAAAGCGGCTAAAAGCTGACGTCTTGTCGGCAGAACCTGGACTAAATGTTGTTCTCCCCCTGCTCACAGATTGGTGCTGACATCGTGCGGCGCGCTCTTACCTACCCCCTCAAGCTTATTGCCAAGAACGCCGGTGCTAACGGCAGCATTGTGGTAGAAAAGGTGAGCGCCGACTTAGAACCCTACCATATGCGGTCAGTTTGTTCAGTTTGTAGAGACCCTAAGGTTTGAAAACAGACTCTTATGATCTGAAGACTCCTTGACGGCTATCATATACTCCCGATGAGGGAATTTGGGTACGAGTTATGACTCTGTAAATATTTGAACTACTGGGCGGGCGCTCGAGCCGGATATTGAATCGAGGGTGTGTTCACTGGCTTTCGTTCAGCACAAGTTCAGCACGGATCTTTGTGCTCCACTTTGTTGGGAGTGCTCCGAGAAAGCCTTTTCTATTCCACAGAGCAAAGACTTGCAACGGAACATACTGGTACTCGCAAAAGGACCATTGTTGACTTGCCGAAGGGACCCATTAAGCAACTTCTGGTTGCCTCCACTCTCTTTGAACATGCTTTTTCTCTATACCGAGCATTTCCATGAAACTTGTTTGTGAAGACCCCTTCTTTGAATCGTTGATGCGAACCATTGATTGTAACTGACGAGCGCAGTGATAACAAGCGGGTTAACGTGCAGGTTCGGACAAACCCCAACAAGGACTTCGGTTACAACGCGGCAACCGGCGAGTACGAGGATCTGATGAAGGCCGGAATCATCGACCCCGCTAAGGTACGCTATCCCGTCTTTTGATCTGGCGGTTGAAGATTGTCGATTGCGGCGGCTAAGATCCTGGCCTTTGCATCTGTCCCCACTCGCTTTCTTGCATACCTAAGCTGATCTGTACCAATATCAGCAGCGGCAAATCGTAGCGGTCGCAAGCAGCTTGACCGGCTTAGCCCGTCTAGCAGTACATCGTTCTGGATGCGGAAGCTCTCGCGGCGTTGAAGCGGGGGCCTGATGCATCCCTTTGCATGTCTTCGCATTAGACTCTCAAGTGGTTCAGTCTGGTTAAAGCTTTCCTATCTCACATAGCACGTCCTCGATGCAGGTGGTTCGGTGCTGCATAGAGCATGCGGCCTCCGTCGCCAAGACGTTCCTGACTTCCGACGTTGTGGTTACGGATATCAAGGAGGCCGAAACTGCCTCTGCCAGCCCCATGGACAACTCCGGCTATGGGTATTAGAGGGAAGCGCAGGAATAATATAAGGTCACTGCAGCTGCATTCCGATAATCATTCGTGCATTGGGTGCATGAAACATTTTTGAACAACATAAACTTTACAAATAGAACTTCTATACTGCCCACTTCTGCCACAAGGAATGATACTTCAGCTGGTGCAGAAGCATTGAAAGGACAGGCAACGGAGGCACTGACGCTGGAGCTGAAACGACTTTCTATGGTGCTTCGATCTGTCCATTGTTTGCCAGCTTGTTGCCTTTACGCGTGGAGCAAAGCTTCCAAATATGAGTGTACTAATTGAATCTGTTCCTGGACATCTGATCAGCTTCAACCAAGGTTGAGCTTTGAGGAGACTCCTTTCAAAATAGGCTATTGCCATCCCGCCCGTGAAATCCAGCGCTTGGCATGACGTGGCGAGGCGCATGGACCCGCCTGTCACCCAAGTGTGACGGTCTGATCCGACATGGCTTTTTTGATCATCTGAGATTTCTGTCATGATGTTTGATGGCCCGCAGCTGTAAGTGTCTGAAAAAGTGACGTCCCGCGGTCAAACCATGCTACAACATAGCATGCAGGTTTACAGATTACAATCATGAGATTCCTAGCTGTCGAGCCTCGAGCAGCAGCTAGGACGCATGTATGCCCGGGGCCGCCCATCCGACACAACACTCTTGATCTTGATCGGACTCGATTCGTGCACATGGAGCGCGCCCGCCCGCAGGTGAAACAAACTCACCAATGCGCGCTATAAATGATCTACCAAACGGGGCCGGGGGGCAGCATTTCAGCTACACGGCAAACATTGAATCAAACTTGGTTATTTCTGTGAATACGCCAGGATTTATCAGTACGTGCGCGCAGCGGAAGTCATGAACGTTAAACCCGACACGTACAAACTTTGAAACAGACTTTCAGTCAAATACGTCACGGACGCATAATGAAATGCTTATGCGGCTTGCAGATGTTACCTCCTATTGATCTACATCATACGTAAATCAAGCGCATCCGTCGCCTGTCGATATCAGAAGGCAGGATCTTATCGGACGAATATACTTAGGAGGATGGTCGCGTGCCCCATGCAATGCTTCGATTGTACCGCAGTTCCGGAAGGGATGCCAGACAGCGCCATGCTGGCAGTTTAGAAAACCGCTTGCCACGCAAGCAAACTTGAGCCAGGTTTACCCCACCGCTTTTGCATATCCAACCTTCAGAACACCTTCAATACACTTCTTAAAATCACAAAATAAGAACCTGAGATCTATCTCTCAATTTGCACCCCCCACCTTCTTACACTCCATGCGTCTCCACCTGGAAAACGGTGAACGCGTCCGTACCTAACCACTATAACTATAGTTCTAATCTCCGCTCTCATGAGCGTGTATAGCAGGGAATCTGAACTTCAATTTACGAACAAACCACAATCAGAGCCACGGCTGCTCGCCGAAGGCGCTACGTGCAGCAATAGCGTATCCGCAACAGCTCGGCCGACGTTCCCCATCTGCTATACGCTCGCAGCAGCTGCTTATGCTAGAAGGGTTCGCTATTCGTCGGAGCGGTGAAAGGGCCCCCACGCGACGAATAAGCGCCCGGGAGGGCGGCCGGAGGACAGCGTCTCCAACGACTCGCGCATCTTCTCTTCACGTCGCTCTGCAGAGGGATTCGACGTCAGCGTGGTGTCAGCAAGACGAGATCCTCCCGCTCTATCTTTGCTCGGAAATCTGGAGGCTAGGATGAGGCTTGCGCGCGCAACATAGGGACTAAGCGTAACCGGTGGACCTACGGGATGATCTGAAGATTGGAAGTCCGTCAAGATCAACAAGGAGGAGGAGGTCGACCTTGCTGATTTGCGAAGTTAGAAAGCTCCGCATTCGCATTCTCCTTGCGTGAGATCTGGACTTTGGAAATTATTTCAACTTTATTGGACGATACACCCAAAGCATGTACGCGCTTGCGTAATGTGGCTGCCAAAACTCCAGCGACCGTCCCATCTCTTTTCGCGCTGAGCCGCACGTTTTAAGCATTAAGAGAAGAGAAGAGTCAACGACGTCGTGATCCGAACCAGAGTTGGCATTCACAAGTTCAAAGGCCTCAATCGATTTCTGATTGCAACAAGACTGACCTTCTTTGTGGCAGTTCATGTGGCCTCCAAGCGCCGTCGGCCTGTCAAACGCCTGCCCACAGAAACGACAGTTGTACACCTGTCCGGTTGGTTCTGCCACCTGTCCTTCTTTGGTTCGCCGCTTGCGGGGCTGCTCTTCGCCTGCGCGCGCACAAATCGGAAAGATGCAGCTTCAGTGGACACTTCCAGAGCAGGCAATGGGGTTTGAGACAAGAGCAGGAGCAGGAGCAGGAGCAGGAGCAGGAGCGATTATGGAACGCAGGAGACCTAAGTCTTCCTTGGATGGAGTGATCTGAGACCAATTTAAAACAGATACGTGAAGGACCAGGAGAAGCGCTGAGCTTGTGAACGAGCGTTTCAATACTGATTGCAGATTGTATTACCCGTTACCGCCAGAGAGATGAACGCCTTCCAAACGATAAAAGGTTCCCAATCTTCACATGAAGGCGAGGCTCCGACAATAAAGGCCCAAAACGACCAAACCATAAAAGGTAGAATGGGCTTCTCCGCCCACTTCGGAGTTAGCGGGGGAGAACGACCTGGAAATTGCAATACAGTGACTAAGATCACGAAGTAAAGATCCAAGCTGATTGGTTCCTCACTGTCGTGCGAACTCTCTGCTCGTTTGTTCCCCTCCTTCGCCAACCTCATCTCTTGCTCCAGATTCAGCGGCGGCGGAATGGCGAACGGCCTCGGAAGCACGTGCCAGGGCCGGAAAACCTGTCCCGCCCCGGGAGGCCCCTCCGGGACGACCTCGGGGACCGGAACCGGAACCGGAAGCGGAAGCGGAACAGCGCCGCGCTGGGGGTCTCTGAAACCGGAAGGGAGAGCGACAGGATTCAATCTGGGCACACCCCCCCGAACTGAAGTTTCTTCCGAACCGTGAACCCGTTGCTGGTACGCTCTGAAGGCGCCGAACAAGTTGCCTCCCTGTTGGGGATTTCCAGCCGCTTCTCCGCTCCGGTGGGTTCCGCCGGAAAGTGTCTGCCCCGCGAGATTTCCGTCGGTTGCATGCTCCGCCGCCGCTGCTAACACCTCTAACCGCGTCGCACCGCCCGGTGTGCCGGTAGCGACCGGGCCCGTGAAGAACAGACCCCCCGAGTGCGGCAAGGTGCGCGTGAACGGGTCCGACGGCGGCCGCGGCGCGCCCTGCGCAGCCGCGCCCTCCGGAACCCCGACGGGGGGCGCCCACATGTCGACCGTCGGCCCCAGGAAACCCGTTCTGGGATCCACCACTTTGCAGAGCGTCAGCTTCCTTGCTTCGCCGCTTCGCGCCTCGTCACTCGGCGGCCGCGCGCGGCCAGCCGCGGTCGCCTCGTAGCCGCTGACGAACCCCGCCTGGAAAAGCTTCGAACCCGCTTCCAGGAGAGGGTTTTGCGACGCGGCCGGGGCGCTCTCTGCGGCCGCGGTCACCAGGTTTGGCCGCACCACCGTCATCCCAAAGTCGCGTTTCCGCCCCTCCTTCCCTAACCCCAAATCATAACCCGTGGTCGAGGCACCGCGCGCGCCCGGCCAGACGGGCATGCGCGCGGCAAAAGACCCCTGCGCGGGTGCGAGCGGCACCGCGGTCGCCTCCGCGCGCGCGCCCATCACAATAGCAGGGGGATGCGCGTGCTTGAGCGGCAACGCGATCGCGCCCGCGCGCGCGCTCGCGCCTTCCCGGGCCGCCTGCTCCATCGCCTGCTCTGCGGAGTTGAGATCCCAAACCGCGGGGGCTGCTGTCCGGCCCATGAAACCGCTTGGTACATTAGCAGATAAAACCTGTATCGTTTCTCTCTCCGGTACAAACCCCCGGGCAGGACCACGTGGCTCGAAACCCCTGCCATCACCGCCCGGTTCAAACCCCCTCCGAAAACTACCCGGTTGCAAACTCCGTGTAATCAAGCTCTGTTCCCCAAACCGCTCCACCTTTCCAGGTTCTTCGCGTCTCTCTTTATGTTGCGGTTGGCCTGCTTCAAAGGAGGTTCGCGGTCCGAAGCTGGGTGCCAGAGAATCAAACGTGACAGCGGAAGAGGGCTGGGAAAGCACCGGGCTCGAAGCGCGCTTCGACTGCTCCGTCGGCTGGTGACTCGCGGCCGCGTAGGGTTTTGGGACATGGTTTTTGGGGAACGTGAGAGCGCGCCGAAAAGGAGACAAGGGCCCGGTCTCAAGAGTGGCTAGGGTTAGCAGTTCCTGGACACTGCTCGAACGGGTGAAGTGTGCCTGTGGGGGTTTGGTTGCTTCTACAGGTTGGAGAGAGAAGCTGGGAACCTGGGGCCGTGACTCGTTCAGTTCGTCAGAGGCACCCATCGAAGAACGGTTCCTGCAGAAGAGAGCTCGTTATCTGTACCAATGGACTCTCCTCGGAATCTTAAACTGCTTGAATATAGCACTCTAAAGTGCTTGAGGACATTGTGGACTCATCAAGCTTCTCTAAGCATTCACACATAAAGTCAATGCAATTCCTGGCGGTGAGAAAAAGAGAAGAGCCTTCGAGAAGATGCAAGGACTCGTCCACCTTCTCTTCAGATTCACATTCATCTTCAATGTATCTTTTTGGCACATCGAAGCTCTCTGCTTCGTTGTTTACAAGCTCGAAGCTCTATCCCGAAGCTTAGATGTTCTCTAAGCTCCAGGCCTTAGAGAATATCTCTGGAGTAATGTAAGCAGGCAATTGGATTTTTTGGAAATCTTCGAACTTCAAAGTATTGAAAACTCCAGAAAAGGGGAGAAAAGAGAAAAAGTTGCACCATGTTTCTTCTTCAAGAAGCCCGAACTTCTTTAAGCAGGGTTCCAAGATCTGGGGATCGATCCAGAAGCAAGCAAACATGGACTAGAGGGCCCTTGCCTTCTTGCATCTTTTGCCTTCGTCTAATCTGCCACAGTCACGTTGTCAAAATGCCGATGTCCTGGCTCGTTCTCTCTCCGAATGATCCGCAGCCAACTTTCCTCCCAACTCGAGCATCCACCGAAAGTCCTTCTGAAAACAGGGCAGACCAGATTGATGCAACCCTCACCTTGCAGAGAACCTCAGCTTGCTGTTGCTCTCCCCATCCTCCACTCTCGGGGGCTCTTTTCCCCCACTGCTAGGTGGTGCCAAGGAAAGATCTGTCGAAACTCCACCCCCAGACCATTCTCTCGGAATATTTTCGAGGGTTTCCCCCTCATGCATGCTGCGACCTACGCTCCCGACCCTCTCAAGAAGGACTTGCTCTGGTCGCAAAAGCTCCGAGGGAAAGGCTTGCTGTTCTACCATCTGCGCGATCTAGCATACTTGCTCGCTAGCTGCGCTCTCAGGTTGAACGCCAACAGCCAGCTTTGCCACGAAGCAAGATTCTCGTCTCGACAAAATTAGGCCCTGTGCTATAGCCTATGGGTGGGCGCTCAGATTTTCCCAGACGCCACCCAAAAGTTTCAAAAGTGCTGAAAGTTCAATTCTTGATGGGGCTGCCTCTTAGCAAGCCCCAAGGTCACCTTCTGCTTCTTTCTAAAAGGCCTATCCTTCGAAGTCGGCGCAAGCACCCGCTAGAGAGAACCATGTGTTTCAAACCCAATCTTTCAAGTGGGGATTTTTTCGAAGTTTGGGCTCTGCTACTTCGCTCACGTCCTAGGATGCTGCAGCTGCTGGAGAAGCGCCAAACCCTGAGCTCAGCAGGAGAGATTCTTTGAATCTTCTTCTTCCACGTAAGTTGCTCCCTACTCCGTTACTTCGAATAAGACACAGGTCACACTCAGAAGACTTCAGTTAACTGCTCTGGTTCTTCCTGGTTAGTACCGCACTTTGGATCATTTCCTGCTCCGTCAGAACGACGACGTTGCGTGACATGCGGGCATCGTCGATCCTCCTTTCATTTAATTCTCCCATGCTCCAACTTCGTGCATGCTTCAAGGATACGGACAAAATGACGGCGTGACGTTCTACGGAAGCGTGTGCCTGCGTGTTGCCAGAACAGGCTCGGTCATTTAATATCAGGGAATCTGTGAATCGCATATGCACGTCCCAGAACCTGAAACGCTTGGAGAATAGCATGTTGTGTTCGTATTCAACGCACCAGAGGCGTCTTGAGTGGGCTGAATTGCGCACATGGCTCTGTGGGGAAAAGAGGATATGGGTTAGTGCTTTGGATCAGCGGAAGATGCCGCAGCCACAGGGAGCTTTGGCTCCAAACAGG